GACCGAAGATTCACAGATACATCAGAGCTGATCCACAACAAAGACTGGGAACATTTGTTTCTGCCAATGACCATTTCAATACTTGTAACATCATTCAGGGGCCAAACAAAATCAATTAAAAATTTGCTGCAATAGGCTTATTGAATTTCAAGTTTTGTCTGCTGTGTCCTGGGTGGGACTACACCAAATGATTTCATCGAACTTATAACTGTATATTCCCCATCTATGGCTTAGTAAATGACAGAACATATCATCTGAGGACAGCATAATACACATTGTTCTCAACAGCACAAAGGAGCTCTTCCAGATTAGGTCATATAATAGGTCATAAATGAATCCTAAGACAGAATTGAAATCATACGTGTATCTTCTAAGACCACAAAGGAACAGAACTGCAATCAACAACAGAAAACTTGTAAACATAAGAAAATTAAGTAGCATGCTCATGGATAACCAGTGAATCATTGAGGAAATTAAGAGGAAGTCATAAAATGTCATAAAAAAATGGGTAAGAAGGGGCCAGGAAGGTAGCCCAGCGGCTAAAAATATAGAGCTAATCAACAGAGGAAAAGGTAGTTTTCTGAAAAGATAAAATAGACATTTAGCTGTACTAACAAAAAAAAAATTCAAACTCAGTGATTAAAAGGTTATAGTCAACTCCACAAAAATACAAAGAATCATAACAAATCACTATGAACAACTATATGCTAACAGATTTGAAAGCCTCAAAGAAATAAATACATATAACCCATCAAAATGAAATAAAGCAATAGAAAATCTAAACAGGTTCATAACAAGTACGGATTGAAGCAGCAACTAGAACCCTTCCAACAAAGAAACACTCAGGACCTGATGGCTTAACTCTGAATTCTACAAAACATGTAACAAAGAATCAACTCCAGTACTCTTCAAATTATTCCAAAATGTTGTAAAAGAGAGAAACCTGCCTAATTTTTGAGGCTAGCGTTAATGTGTTACCAAAATCCAAGGCAAACACAGAAATGAGCCATAGATAAATGTCCTTGATGAACAAGGATGCAAAAATTCTCAACAACATACTGCTGAAACTAAGCCAAGACTACATACAAAGATCAAGGATAATAATCAAGTGGGATTTATCCCAGAATGCAAGGATGGTTCAACAATCACAAATCAATAAATGTCATAAATCACATCAATAAAATGAACAAAAGCCACACTGTCAGAGTTTGGTGTTAATGTGTAGTAGGCTAATTATTGCTTCCAATGCTAGCATCCTACACGGGCTCTGTTAGAGTTTCAGCTGCTTTATTTCTAATCCAGCTCCTTGTAAATGTGCCTGAGAAAGCATCAGGAGATGAAGCAAGCACTCAGGCTCCTAAACCCAGTGGGTGACCCAAATGAAGCCTCCAACTCCTTGCTCTAGCCTGCTAGCCATTGTGGACACTGGGGAATTCATCAACGGATGGAAGACGTGCTCTTCTTCCTGCTCTTTCCTTCTCTCTCTGTAACTCTGCCTTTCAAATAAATAATTCATTTTGTTTTAGAAAGTATATGACCATTTAAATAGGCATAGAAAAAGCATGCCAAGATGTAACTTCCCTTCATTAAAAATTCTTTAAAAAATTAAGTGTGAAAGAAACATACCTCAAAATAATAAAGGCCATATATGACAAACCAACAGTAATATCATATTGAGCAGAAAAAGCTGAAAGAATTTTTCCTCAGTCTTAGAGCAAGACAGAGATCTTTACTTTGACCACCTGTATTTGATGAAGTACTGGCAGAATTAGCAAGAATAATCAAGGAAAAGGAAAGCAATAAAGGACATCAAAATTGGAAAGAAATCAAAATATCCATACTTGCAGAAAACATGATTTTGTATGTGAGTAAATCTAAATACTCCACCAAAAAAGCTATTAAAACTGATAAAGCTCTTCATTAAGGTCACAGGATATAAAACCAGAATATCAAAACAGTAGCATTTTTATACTTTAATAATGATCTTATTGAAGAGAAATCAAGAAATCAAGAAAATTTCTCCAATGGTAACTGCCAAAATATGTATGCATTTATTAATCAATGTGACCCAGGAAGTGAAAAATCTCTACAACAAAAATTATAAAATACTGTGAAAGAAATCACCAAAGACACATTAAAAAAAAACCAGATATTCCTTGTTCATGGAAGAATTAGTGTCAAAATGTTTACAACATGGAATCTACAGATTCAATGCAGTCCCTATCAAAATACCAGGGAGATTCTTTTTACAAGTAGGAAAACAAAATTTTTAATCCTAAATTCTTAAGGAAACACAAAGATGTACAATAGCCAAAGCAATCGTTAGCAAAAAGAAAAAGAAAAAATAATAAGCTGGAGGCTTTTAAGGGGGAAAGGGAGCAAGGACACAAGAAAGATGGGAGGGAATGAGGAGGGGAAGATGGGAGAGAGGAAGATTTTCCATCTTCTGGTTCATTCTCCAAAAGGTGGCACTAGCCAGAGCTGTTATCAGGTGAAGCCAGGGACTCCATCTGGTCTCCCCCATGGATGATAGGATCTCAGCAGGGCACTTAAATCATCTTTCTGCCATCCCAGGAGCATCAGTAAGGAGTTCAGCCAAGTGATTTTTAACAAAGGTGCCAAGAACATACGTCAGACAGAAGATAATTTTTTCAATAAATGGTGCCAGCAACACTACTAATTTTGTGTGGCTAACAAATGACATTATAAAAACCCAAATGGCCTTTGGAAGAAAAAAAAGTTTCCCTCTTCTGATTTACAAGTTCAGATGCAACAACACCATCAACTGCAAGAAGAAAAACAGATTCAGTAGATAAAAATACCCATATATATGAAATTAGATTTCTACCTCTCACTATATACAAAAATCAACTCAATATGAATCAAAGACCTATAGGTAAGACCTGAATCAGTGAGACAACTGAAAGAGAACATAGGAGAACACAATTCAAGACACCGTGTAGGCAACAATTCTTAAGAGAAAATGACAAAAGCACAGGCAACAAAGACAAAACCAGGTACAAACTCAGGTTTCTGTACAGCAAAGCAAATAAGCAACAAAGAGGAGATATCTGGACCTCAATAGACAGTTCTCCAAAGTAGTACATATGGTCAACAGACACATGAAAAAAAAAAAATAAGGTATCACTAGCCCTCAAGGTAATGTAAATCAAAACCATAGTGAGACAGTCTTTCATTTTATTCTGTTAGAATGGGCATTACCTGACCCAGTATGATAGCGTAGTGGTTGAAGTCCTCGCCTTTCACATGCTGGGATTCTATATGGTCACCGGTTCTAATCCCAACGGCCCTGCTTCCCATCCAACTCCCTGTGGCCTGGGGCAGCAGTTATGGACAGCTCAAAGCCCTGGCACCCTGCATCCGCACAGGAGACCCAGAAGAAGCTCCTGGCTTTGGACTGGCTCAGCCCCAGCCATTGTGGGCACTTGGGGAGTGAACCATCAGACGGAAGATCTTCCTCTTTGTCTCTCCTCCTCTCTGTATATCTGCCTTTCCAATAAAAATAAATAAATCTTTAAAAACAAAAATGGGCATTACCAAAGACAGTAACGAATGCTGATGAGATCTAGCAAGCAGGAAATCTACATGTTGGTGGCAATGCAAAATAGTGAAGTCACTATGGGAAATAGTATAGACACATATGTTCCAGCAATCCCAGAAGTGGATATACACCCCAAAATCATGAATACGTTGTGTCAAAGAGATACACTCTGTTCAGCTGTCATTGTGTTTACTGCATACTGCTCAGTTTGGAAGATATGAAATCAACTAAGTGTCCCTCATCAGATGAATGGATGATGAAGATGTGATATATATAAAAGCTGAAATATGCACAACCATAAAAAAATGAACCCTGTCATTTGAAGCAACATGAATGCAAGCAGAAGATATGACATTAAGTGAAATAAGACAGAAAGGTCAAACCACAAGTACAGGAGCTTAAAAAACCCTCAATCTGAATGCAAAATGGTGATGACTAGATGCTGACAAGGGTCAGGAATTGAGGGAGTGTGGAGCTGGGTACCAAATTAGAGTCAGGTGGAAGGAGTGTAGGGGGCAGACTGCAGTGCACAATAACTTAGTCCACACTATAGGCACTAGGAGACCAAGGAAGCTCCAAGTCTCCAATCATTAAAAAGTGTCAAAACAAAAGGAAATGTTGATAACCTTGCTTTACACCACACATGTACTGAAATGTCACACTGTAGCCCACCAATATGTACAATTACTGGCAATCAAAATAAAAAATCATAATGTGTTATTTAGAGCCATTCCTTGGTCTCTGCAGAAGACGAGCTCCAGGATGTCCCCTGCAATAGATAACCAAAACCTTCAGGTGCTCAAGACCTGTTCATCAAATGGCACAGTAGTTGCCTATGATGTTTGTGCATCTGCTTATGTACCATAGATCATCCCTGTGGTGACTTCTAATGTCTCATGAAATGGAAATGCTGTGTAAAAGGTTTTTATAGTTAGGCAATGACAAGGGAAAGTCTATATGGGTTTTGTACATCTGCAAGATTTTTTTTTCCAAGAATCTTCCATGGGAGCTAAAAGCATCCCTTAGAACTCTGTTAAATGGGACAGGCTATTTTAACAAGAAATATATTACAGTCACCAACATTTCTCATCACTTGTTTTTTTTTTTTTACAAGTAATAGTAATTTTAGGTATAATTTTATTTATAATGAATTTCCAACTATTACATCAAGAATTTACTATTAATCTGATTTTAATTTTTTTTCTGGTAGAAATGCAAAAAAAAACACTTAGAATAAAATTATGTTAGCAAACAAAAAATTATTTTGTAGCTCTGGTGACAAATTTTGTTTCAACTGGCAGGTTAAAGGAGATGAACTCTTAGTCCTATCCAATCATTGTCACATGGCATCAGTAAATACAAGAAATTCTGATGTTCAGAAACAACACATGGTACTTCGGAAGATTAAAGCTGAAAGGCAAAGAAATCACAAGCTTACCTTGTTACTGCCTAGACTATATGATGGAATAAGATCTTGTCTACTTCCAGACAACTGGGGAAGAAATAAAGGGAGATTAGTGACTTATGTGTAAAAGCACATAAACATTTGGTACAGAAAGTGCAAGGTTTTGAAAATCGAATCAGCTGACAGCTGAAACTGCATAGTAGCAATGGGTGGCCAAAACCAAGGCTGTAGACCAGCAGCCTTTGTTAAACGAAGCACACTGCACTGGAGCTTCTAGCAGATCTGGATATCCTGTGTGCCCTGAGGCAAGAACTGGCTGGATTAAGAGCCAGTGCATTGGCTCATCCCCTTCTGGTTAAAGGACTCCAGGTGACTGGGTCTCTTACCATGGCCCAACCTTATATTTCCTGTCCAGGTTTCTACAGAAAAAAAATTTAATTACAGCATTTCAAATATAAAATCTCTGCATTTATCAGTATATTTTAATATATTACTTTCTAAAGGAATGAGAAGCTATTTACCTTGAATCAAAGTGATAGTTCTAAATGTCTGGGAACAATCCTATCATCCAGCGTGAGGTCATCAGTGATGTCATTCAATGGTCCCTGAGGGGCCATGGAGGTTGTCCGGGAGATATCCTGCCTGTCCCTTCTCTCCTGAGCGCAAGGCTAACAGCAGCTGCTCTTTCTTACATACTTCCACTGGGTCTTTTTGGTATTAAGACAGAATCAGTGTTTTTCTCACTGACATCTTTATTAAAATGAGGAAAAAAGATAAATCAAGGGGCCATGAGCACATCTGTGAAGAATCATTTCCAGATTTAACATGCACGTGAGTCACACTTATGTGTTAAGAAAACAACATACTTTAAGCGCCATTATGAAACAAACCTAACATATTTTACTCCTTTATGTGCCCCTGATAAGCTGTAACCAATGAGTTTCTAAACCTAGTCCAGACTTCTCCGTAAAAATATTCATTTAAGGACAGAAAACGTACTTGGCTTGTTCTAAGCACTTTCCTAGCCTTGGTTCAGTCCCACAAACATTGTACACCTACAGCTGGTTCTAGGCAGTGGTGATGGAAAGATTCATGAGAAACATCGCCAAGGTGTTTAGTGATGCTTCCCCGTGGCAGAGGGAAACACAGATGCTGCGGTGGTACAAGCAGGTACTTAAATCAGCCCAGGTAAGGGACATTAAGAGCTGGGATGAGATTTAGAGTGTAGAAGGTGCAACCCAAGCACAAAGCAAGAAGGGCTGTCCCAGGCAGAGTGCAGACTGGGGAGCCCATGTACTCACTCTGTTCACATTTGGAGAACTGATACTCCTCCTGTTCAACTTCCCTTTTCCTGTTAATTGTTCCTTGACTGCAACTTCCTGTGAATCAGAAAATACCAATGATGAAAATGTACAGGAAGATGGATCCCAGAGGAAACCCTATGTAAAGCAAGCTTTGACCTCCCACCCACAGACAAATGGCTAAAGTCTCTTTGCAGTACTCCAAGTTAATTACAGCACAGCCTTTAGAACATGGATGGAGAATATCCAGCCCACGGGTCATACAAGGCTTGCCAAGTCATTTGGTCCTGCTCTGCCAAGACGACCACAGCCAGGAGTTGGAATTCCATAAATCTATAGCAAACTTCTAAGTTGATAATTTTGTGTGGCCAACAAATGACGTTATAAAAACCCAAATGGCCCTCAACAGAGAAAAGCCCCTCCACACCTTTACAAGTTCAGATACATCAACACCAGGAATTGCAGGAAGATAAACACCAATTCAGGCTGGGTTGAGACGAATATCTACTCTACCAACCTGGCGAAGACGATCTAAAGTCAGGAGGTTTTCCACAGCCAGCACGCTTCTGAGGTACTTTTCAATGTAAGCCTCTGAGTCAGCAGAGGCAGGGTTTTCAACATTAGCTGCCATTCTTGCCAATGCTTCTCGCTCTTCCACTCCCTGGGCATCCTGAAGAATGCAGTTACACGAGTAAGTAAGTATAGTGTAGAAGTAAATTATGTAAAAGTTGTTCAATTTGCACATATATCTGAACCAACAGGATGGATTCTAAAATTTCATTTTGGAGGCTGGTGTTCAAGTGTGATGGGTCAAGCTGCAGCCTGCAATGCCAGCTTCCCATGTGGGCATTAGTTTAAGTCCCAGCTGCTCCACTTCCAATCCAGCAACCTGCTAAACACACCTGGGAGAGCAGCAGAAGACAGCTTAAGTCCCTCAAGCCTTGCACCCACGTGGGAGATCTGGAGGAAATTCCTGACTTTGGCTTCACTCATTTCTGTTGTGATCAGCTGGGGAGTGAATCAGCAAACAGAAGCTCAGTCTCTCTGTTGTTCCCTCTCCAATTCTGCCTCTCAAGTAAATAAAATAAATCTTAGATATTTTTCACTTTAAAATCATCTTTTAGAACTCAGTATTTATGCAGTTCCATTGCAAAATCAAACCAAACTACACTAAAACAGAAACACTGGGCAGGAAAGACTTGAGAGGCTGGCCAAAATTATAATCACAATAATAACCATGTTTTAGGAACATATCACTCCCCTGGGGCGGCAGTACAGAGGAGGGATCCAAACACCTTATCAGAAAGCAGACTCGGTCTGGAGAGAGAATCGAGTGGAAAGAAGTACAAGGCGTCAGCCACTGCTCTAGGCAGCTGACTGAGGGTTGCACATTCAGAACGCAGGAGCTTCTCAGCCTGCCCCCAATTTTCGTCTCTGAGCAATTCAGTGGCCAAAACTCAAAGGAAAAGTACCTGGGTCAATTCTCACTCCCTGCACTTTCTTGTACAGCCATCCCCTGTTCCTCTCTTAACATGAGCTGGCTGCCACATAAATGTGACATTCACAAGTCTGTAAGGGTTTTTATTAAATAATTACTTCAAGTAGGCAGGCAATTTACTCTTCTCAAGAAAAAGCAGATCTTTTATTTACCTGAGAACTTCTTCTTTTTCTGTATATTTCCTATTTACTGATTTTGTTAATATTAGAGTTCTAGCACTATAAACTCATGTCTTGAGAATTCAAAACAGAAGTGGTACAATGGACAGCCTCATCCACTCAGCAGTCAGGAAAATTTGATTCACAAGTCTTTTGATAATTCCACAATCTTTAAAAATTGGGAACTTCTTTAAAAAATAGAAAAACTAAAAAACATATCCATATGCCACTGCATCTTAAATGCCACTGAATATAAGAGAAACAATTTTCCAAGAGAAAAAAACCCTGCCAATTTACTTGAAGACACTACTGATTTTAAGACATTCTAACTTGAATGATATTTTCAAATTCTCAACTGAGTCTTAGATAAAACATGAGAAAATTTTATTATAAGCTGGCTTACGTTCACAAGTCTTTGTCTCCTACAGTGATTCATTTGAGTCTTGCAATACCCATGAAAGAAAATCATCCTGACTTCATAGATGGCCAAGGAAGGACACACAATTAACCAAGAAAGCAAGCAGAGAGCACAGGTCTGCCGGCTCCCACACAGTATTCTTCTCATCACCACACAAACCCTTGCAGACATCATCCTGGCTTTGTAAGGGGATAAACATAAATAAAAGTCCTCGTGTGCCCTTTGGCCCAAGACTGTATCTTTTGGCATCTGCCCTGATGGCTAATGTAACATGAACACAACCCCAGCTCACAAAGGGGTCTCGGTTCTCTTGTTAAGACTATTCTTATGCAGGAAGCTTTAAGCTTCTCTTTTCCTTAGACTTTCTCAACTGATTTGGTAATGTAAAAACAAAGTGTCAAGTTAGATGTTTAGCTAATTATTCACCCACTCCATCTTATGAGGCTGTTTAAGTTGATTCATACACACACACACACACACACACACACACTCCCTTTTAAAATAATCTCAAAATAAAAATTATTTTTTTCAAAAGAAAAAAAAAAACCCAAGTGGGACAGAAAGACATGTGAAGGAAGATGAGGACAGAAACGTGAAAAGATAAGAATAGTTCACTATGGCGGTCACTATTCTCAACTTTGAGGCATTCAGAGTTAGGATCTGAAACAACCCATAAATTGTGTAGATGCATTGAACACACACTCAGTATCTAGATAAACCAATGCATAATTTTGCTTCAAGTCTTGCAAACAACAATGAATAAAGTAGGCAATCATCTATTACAGGGGCAGGCACTGTGGGACTGCAGGTCAAGTGACAGCTTAGAATGCCCCAATCCTTATTCGAATGCTTGTTCTATCTAGTGCACCTGTTCTTCACATATTCAACAGAGTCTATCAGCAAATCCTAAGTCCTGAGGTGGACAGCACAGGTGCTAGTGATGCAACTGGAGAGATTTCCCTCACCTTCCCCAACCCCAGGTCTCAAAGCCTCACTATTCCACTTGAAAGAAAATTCTCATTTCCACTTCCTCACTCACATTCAACTTGGGATGGCAAGTGTTGGGACAAGGGACTGCCCTTCTTTTCCTTTTTGACAGATTCCCTTTTTCCTAGGGTCCTTTCTTCTCCAATTCCTGCAAGAGATATGCCTACCACATCACCCAGCTGAGTGAAGAAATCTAATTCAGGGACTAAAAATCAGGAAGCACACACAAGCTCCTTCCTTCAGATTTCTCTCGGGGACATCTCAAGCTGCACTTGTCTGGATCTCTGCATTATCTCAATTAGTTCACAAAGGGAACTTGTCAGAGCAATGCTGACAGAGTCTGAGATTTTATTATGTAATACATGCACAACAAATCTGTACAAAAGCTCTCATTTAATCTGGTTTTTTTTTTTTTAAGATTTTGTTTATTTGAAAGAGAGAGAGAAGACAGAGGTCTTCCATTTACTGGCCCACTATCCAGATGGCTGCTGTGGCCAGGACTGGGCTAGGACAAAGTTAGTAACCAGGCGTTTCTCCCAAGTCTCCCACAGGCATATAGAGAGCCAAGCACTTGAGCCATCTTCTGATGCTTTCCCAGGTGCATTATCAGAGAGCTGGATAGGAAGTGGAGAAGCCAGGACTTGAACTGGTGTGCATAAGAGATGTTGGTAAACGGTGGCTTCACCCACTACAACACAGCACTGGTCTTAGCTCTCATTTAATCTTTAAAGGTCACCCTGTGGGAGGCTGGCTTTGTACCACAGCAGGTTAAGGCCACCACCTCCAAAACATTCCATATGGGTGTTAGTTCATGTCTAGCTGCCCCACTTCCAATCCTGCTTCCTGTTAAGGCTCCAGAAAAAGCAGAAGAAGATGGCCCAAATACTCAAGCGCCTGCCACCCATGTGAGAGACTCAGTTGAAGCTCCTGGCTTCAGCCTGGCGCATCTCTGGCCACTGGGGCTATCTGGGAAATGAACTGGCTGATGAAGCTCTCTCTCTTTCTCCTTCCCTCCCCCTCCATCCCCCACCTTTGTCTGCCTTTCAAATAAAGCAATAAATCTTAAAATCTACCCCATGTGGAAGATATTACTAACCCTCTTTCATAAATGAAAAACATTTGGGTTCAGAATACTTTATCCAAGTTTCCTTTGCTAATAAGTCACAGAAATAAAGATTTCAGTTTGACTGCAAAATCCAAAACAAATCTATGTTGCCTCTCTATAGAATATTACAATCCTGTCATCGTCTCCCAGTAAATAGGGGTTGATATGCTTTCCGAAAGTCAGGGCTGTCTTCATCAAACACCAAGGCCAGAACTTTTAAAGCCATAAGCACATTTAGCTATAAATTACCATGAGGAAATTCCTGTAAAAATCGATACCATTTCCCTAAATACACATTCTCTTAATACACGTTTCTTGGGTAGGTGGCTTTTCAGGGAGTTAGCTCTTTTTTACAGGTTTATTTTTGGCAAATTCAAGTTGCATATGATCCCTTACCTCTGGAATATTGGAAACAATTTCAAAAGTCACTCCACAGCCAGGAATAGAACTTCGATGAGACATCTTTTTTAAAAGACTCTGAGCGAAACCCTAGAGAAAAAAAAAATTAGAAACTATGGCTTCCCACCTCAACAGCTGAGTTAACATTAACAAAGAGACAGCATAAAGGATGCAGCATTCATTCTAAGCAAAGAAAAACAGTATATCTCCAACAAAGGTCAGTGACATCCCTACCACCTGACACAATATGTTCAACTTGGTCTTACAGCATAAAACCATTTCGGAGGCCCACAGTGTACAACCTGCCCTATACCAGTCTGTGAAAAGCACAGACCTAGCAGCTGGCAGCAGGCATCTGGCTAAACTCTGCTTCGATGCTACAGAAAGAAAACTGTTGACTTCTACACAATAAAATGACCTTCTAACTAGGATGTAAGCAAGCACCAGGGAGCTCACTTATTTCCCTCAGCACGATGGACATCTTGTTCCATGAATATTGACAAGTTCAGGCATTAAATTCTTGACCAAAGCAGGATCATTATGAAGAATGATTTAAGAGTGCCTGGTCATTGTTTATGCTGACTGCGCTCTTTGCACAGTTAGGAATTGAACTGCTGAATTAATGCAGAGATGACTCATTTGAAGATGCTGCTAAGCCTGAACATCCTGTAGAGGTTGAAAAGAGCAGCGATGAGGGCGGAATACAATTGGTGAACAAAGATAACGAGAAGGGAAAACAAGAAGCAGGCACTATCCCCCCCTCCAAAAAAAGGAAGCAGAAATACATGAAAAGGCCCTAAAGAAAAAAACTGTATTTACCTATTAAAACATATGTTGTTCATTTACTGTTTAAACACTCAAGAGGCTTTTTTAAAATTTGGCCTTGGAACCAGTATTGTGGTTTGGTTTAAGTTGACACTTGTGAAGTGGCATCCAATGTACAGGTACTAGTTCAAGACCCTGCAGGTCCATGTCCAAAGCAGCTCCCTATTAATGGTCTAGGAAAGGCAGGTGGCCCAAGTATTTGGATTCCTTTCCCTCATATGGGAGACCTGGGCGGCGTTCTCAGCTCCCGTCTTCAGCCTGGCCCACCCTCAGCTGCTGCAGCTAGTTTGAGACCGAGCCAACAGATAGAAGAATCTCTTCATCCATCCCTCCTTCTAACTCTGCCTTTCAATTTAATAAAGAATTTTAAAGTGTAAACTAAAAATTTGGGGGCCTTAAAATATATACCTTCACTAACCTACCTAATGGCAATTCATTTCATATTCCATGATCTTCAGCTAATTTTTAATAAAGCTGTTAGAACCTCAGAGTGCAAAGAGCCGGCCAATTCCCTCCCCCCGCCCCGCACTCCCTCCCTGTCTGCCCTGCAGTGCAGAGCCAGGGCCTGTCCCACAGATGAGGACAGAGCTACCGCTTTATCACAAGTGACGAAGGGTGATGTTGGGGTTCTTGTGACTTCACCTGTTTCTTACCTGAACAGAATTAATGAAGCTGGCCTGCCTATGTTAGGGTCATGTGGAAGGCTCTGTCCTTGCGAAAAGAATGAAATTTCTGAAATAGGGAGGGAAAATGGCAGCCCTGAATATACTTCTAAATCATTTCAAACCAGGAAAAGTAAAGGAACAACTCATGCCTGAAATGAAAAGCAGCCAAACAAGTAGAGGCTTGGTGGCCCCCAACATGGCCTTTTCTGTTGACGGCTCTGGAGGGATGATGGCTGTGCCAGGTGCGTCTCAGCCGGATGTCTAATTCACAATCCAAAATGCTCCCCAAGAGCAGCCTGCCTTTTTTCAACCCCTTGCAGAAGCATGAGAAAGGGAGGCAGAATGCAATGGGCAACACCCCCATATATATCTACAGCTAACCCTGTGACCTACATTATATTGAGGTTGGACTGCCAGGCTAAAGAGCTGCAATTTTAACAGCATTACCGCCAGTCTTCATTTTAAAGATTGATATCAGTGTGACATTTAGAACTAAGATTAATTTTTAGGGGTGGAGATTACATCTAGGAGTCTGTCAACCGTGACTGTGCTCTTTTAAAGGAAAAGATTTACTTTTATCCGCACTGGTTTCAGTCAGCATATGGAGGATGCCTCAGAAGAGGGGAGGGAAGGAAAGGGCAGTTAAGCAGGATCTTGAAAATGAGTCTCCCAAATCCTCACATGTGCAAAGAAGAAGTTCACAGTCTACCCAGAAGTTTTCCTCTAAAGCCTTTGACATGCCATAAGATTCCTCACAAGCCACAACACACCGCCCCCTGCCCCCGCCCGTCACGCCATGCTGCCCTGACCTGCCTTCCACACCATTTCCACACATGTGCTCCTCTCCTCCTTCCTCCCCTAAAGCCTCTGCAGACTCAATGCTTCATCGTCTCAACTGTCATCTCTCACACAGCACCCACTGCAGGCTTGCCAACAGTCCTATGAAAGACAACCCTGACAACCCCAAAGCCAATCCTGACAATCTGCCACTGTATGGCAGCCTCATGCAAACAACTAACTGCTGATTGGCCAGAAATGGTTTCCTGGACCCTGTTGGGACACAAGCAGAGCCATTCCTCCAAAGCCCTGCCTTCATGCCAAGCCTGCTGTTAAAGACACATCTTCAACTAAGAGCCTCACCTGCCGGCCATGCACATTGACACAAATCCTCTTGCGTAGCACCAGCTGCATGTCGGCGGGATGGCTGAGCTGGACTGTCACACGCACGATCAGGAACACTCGCTCATCACCAGGGGTGCCTTTACTGAGCTGGGGGCAGTTGTGTACTGCTGAGTCCCAGGAGGCTTCTGCTCTCACCTGCAGGGAAGACAGAGAGAAAGCATTATTTTCCTTGTCCCAGGAATCCATCTTGCTTTGAGCATAGGCCAGGCCAAAGTAAAGCTCTTCCATGAGAACTGCCCAGAAAAAGGCCATGGGGTGAAAGCAGGTGGCCTCAAACACCCGTGTCTGGGACATGCAAAACATGTTGTTCGTGCTACCGGACTTACTTGCAAAATAACTTTGAAAAAGTGCAAACAACATGGGGCTGGCATGCTACTTCTCTGCCCTGTGGCACTGGATCACATGTGAAAGCTGGTTTGTGTTCTAGCCACTGCACTTCCCATCCAGCTCCCTGCTTGTGGCCTGGGAAAGCAGTGGAGGATGGCCCAAGTCCTTTGGACCCCACACGCATGTGGGAGACCCAGAAGAAGCTGCTGGCTCATAGCTTCAGATCAGCTCAGCTCTCGTGGTTGCAACCATATGCAGAGCAAACCAGTAGATGGAAAACCTTCTCTCCCTCACCCTCCCTCTCCGTAAAATCTGCCTTTCAAATAAAAATGAATAAACCTTAAAAATGTTCAAACATTAGGAAATGTTGCACAATTCCATTCTCGTGTGTCCCTGTATAGATTTCATCAAGAATCACTAACATATAATATTTGATCATTTTGGCTTCTTTCTCACAGTGCATGCACATAGTTATTGCTGAACCCCATTCAAGTAAGGGCAGACAATTATCATATCCAGGAAATTTAACATAGATAATAATGCTATTATTTAAATAGAGGTCATTTTCAAATTTCTCCATTTTCCCAACCAAGAAAAACAAACTGTGTTTAACTGTCATGTTCCTCAATGTCAGATTGTTCCTCAGTCTTACTCTGTCAATCTGGACACTGACAAAAGGCACACTATGGTAAAGGCACCTCGCTAGAGAGTGCCTGATTCCTCACTGATAGATTCAAGTATTACAACCTGCTTAGTAATACTAGAAGTGATAGTGCATCCTCACAGCACCACTTCAGCTTTCCTTCTGAAAAGTTTCATGGTGTAATTTTTCAAATATAGTCACAAATAGCAAACAAATCCCTCATGTTTTATCTATCACTCAGATTCAACCTTGAAATCCAAGCCCTTGCTTTCATCTTATCTTTTTCAACAAGTCTTTGGTATAAGGAATTCCAAAGAAAAGCCTAAGCACCATGTGCTCGGATGGAACCCATTTTCACCCCAAGGTGTGAGGACCAGAGAGCCCAGCTCCTGGTCATTGCTGACCTCAACTGCTCATACCATGCAGACCCTGGACCAAGAAAGGAAGGAAAATGGGGACAAAATCTGATGCTTAACTTCCAGTCATCCTGGAAGTCAAAACAAAAGGTTTTCTATATTTTGAGAAATCCAAGCATTCAAATAATTACCTTGCTGATGATTTTAAAAGACTGGAAAGAGGTTTGGGAAACTACTTTATACCTGATTTTTCCCAGTTCCACTTTACTTACCTCCCCTTCATGCTGCTTTACAATCTGAAGTTCAAAAAACTCTTCCTCTTCTTCGCCAGTCAGGGTGGCATCCCACCCACCAGCTTCTGGGTCATCAAGATTATCCTGAGAGCTGAAATCATCAGCTGAAAGTGAAGACGTTCCATTAAATACTGAGATCATTTTAAAGGATAACCCCCACCAGCTAAATTTCAATGTGCTTATTATTAAAATTCTTTTGCTTCAAATTTCATTTGCTTTTTGCTCTCAAGTCTTACATGACCTTGATGATGACTATTTAATAGCTCACAGGTCTTACAGAGAAAGAACCTCGAGAAATGATCTTACCCGATATGCTATCCTGATGCCTTATTTTACAAGAGGGCAAATGAAGCAAGAATGCCAAAGAGATTGCCCAAGACCTGTGCCTAAATGCTAATGATAGGCTTGTACCTCAACTCCCTACCTTTTAATGCACAGGAGAAATGAGACATTAAGTGGCGGTAATTCCAGTTATCTGACAGTTAAGCTCAATGAAAAGATCAATCAGCTACAAGAGTTGAAAACTTCAGGTTTGCACCAGAGCCCTGTGATTATTCAGCTCCCAGCAACTCAGCCATCTTAACCTTGTGGGTGGACATGAGTACATCAGTAGCAGGGGAGTTTAGCATGTGCACAACATGAACAAAGGCCCAATCGTCTCTTTAGATATCCAGACTTAAGATATTCCTTATACTCTTTCTTCCCTACTATTTATTAACACCCATCCACAATCACACATAGACATAAAAGTCCCTCACCATTCAGAATGAGTAACACAAACATTAGCCAAGAGTCACACTCATCTACAAGGATCAAGCAAACAAGGTAGCATAAAGTCTTATGGCGAGGCATTAAAAACAAACAAATGCCATTTTATTAGCTAAACAGGCAGTGGAGTGCTTCAGTTTTACTCAAATATGAGGTGTCTACAAAAATAAGCTAAGAGGCGTGAGGTACTAAATACCTCAAATATTGTTATAACTCACCTTTAGCTCAGTGAACAAGGAGCACCAAGGACACCTAAATTGTCTATTTAGTAGAGTTCACTTCAACACACAGTTTTTCTGCAAATGTGTAGGAATCTAATTGCTGACTTTTATTTTTCATTCTTTAATCTACCTTTTCACTCTCTACTTTCCCTCCTTTAGCCAGAGTACGTGGGCAACAAAGCTGCAGGGAAAAAAAATGACAGCTATGTACAAAAGAAACAGGTAATGGCAAGAATTCCCAGAAGTAGGAGCTGTATTGGATAATGTGAAGAAAACAGCACAAGGATATATGCTACCTAAGTATTGATACTTATTAGTCCTTTTCACAAAGAAGTCCTTCCCTGTAAATCAAACAAGGTGATATTTTAGGTGCGGAGGAACAGCATCCCTTCTTGAGTGATAGCAAAACAAAGCGTAAGCAGAGTACTGTGGGGTATGGCAACTCAACATGAGTGAGCATCAGGGGAAGCAGACCTACCGCAGCTACAAAGACAGGACCATCCCATCCTTGGCCAACACCAGAGTCCATGGGTGTAAATAAAATGGACTCTAACCCTAAGTCGAAGGAACTGCCTGAAGATATACTCAGTTGGAGTCTCAGTGTTATTTAGGCACTAATTTGTTAGGGGTGTATCTTCATAAAACACCTCTGAGCTTACCATTTAAGTCAAGGAATATAACAGGAATGTGGGTTTCCATCCCAGGCACTGGAGTCCTGAAATACAGAGAATAAGTAGCACCTCAAATAAAGCATATTAATAATACCAACTGCATGGCACAGCCTTAATAATCATTCAGAGTCACCATAGGTCAAGAGGCAAGATCAACCCCAGGCATTGAGTTTACTAGAATTTAAAATGAAAGATGTCACGAAGACTTAACTGTGATAGGTAATTCTTTAATCATTTATTTTTATTGGAAAATCAGATATACATAGAGGAGGAGAAACAAAAAGGAGGAGAGACAGAGAGAAATATCTTCCATCTGATGATTCACACCCCAATGACCACAATAGCTGGTGTTGCACAGATCCGAAGCCAGGAGGCAGGTCTCCTGGCTTCTGGGTCTCCCACGCAGGTGCAGGGTCCCAAGGCTTTGGGTCATCCTCTACTGCTTTCCCAGGCTACAAGCAGGAAGTTGAAGGGGAAGTGGGGCTGCTGGGATTAGAACCGGCACCCATATGGGATTCCGGCATGTTCAAGGAGAGGACTTTAGCCACTAGCCCACAGCGCTGGGCCCATGATAGGTGCTTCTTATGCTCTCATACAAGAATTTAAATCTTGTAGGATACACACACACCTACTTATATTGAAGCTCCCTTGTTTAAACTTCCTTTCTTACAAAAGGTTTTTAAGGAGTCCATGACGCCTCACTTGCTGTTTTTAATTTCTATGAAGAGGCACACAGTGTTTGCTGACTGTATAGTCTATGCCAGCACCAAAACCAAAATCTGGTGGAGATGCAATTTTCTTATGACCCAACAATTTTTTAATGGAATGACCCAAGTAATTAACACATTAACTTTTTTAAATGCTGAGCACAGTGGTACTAAATATCGACTTTGATTCTCAGAAGTCTTAATTACTTTGGCCAATAAAAATATTATTTAATAAAACAGTTTCAGGCCACGGTTATTTCATCCACAAAAATAATTTAACAGTTCCCTTAATCCAAACAACTTTATCCCCTTACACAATTATGAATCTTTCATTAATTGCACCATATATCTGAACATCCAAACTCAGAACAGGCAGCCTAGTGGGTGTTCAGAACAGACATGTTCCCGTGCAGGGTTCATACCATTCTGCAGGGGCCCCTGGAATCCCACTGCCAGCAGACGGGACCATCACTGCATTTCTTTCCTCAGTGAGAGTCAGCCGCATCTCCAGGAGCTGTGCCTCGCGGTCAGTGTCATCCTCTGTTTTATCTACAATGTCATGAAACAGAAATGTCAGGTGCTATTTCTACTTTTGTCCTAAGTGCTAGGCCGAGCAGAAGCAACTTCTAAAGGAGCTGAGTGCATCAAAGGACAAGCAAGCTTACCACAAATCATGAACACCTGGTAACCTTGGGACACTAAGCAGCAGACTGAATCCTGGGGCTAGCTCCCTTCCTGCCTCCTTCTGGCCACAAACAGAAAAGAGTTTCACCAGTCTCAATGCTATCTTTGTTGGGGTCAGAAATTCTCATCCAGAAACGTTTCAAATGCCAACTCTGAAGATCAACACCCACCATGATGACACATCACAGTTACAAGCACACGTAAATTGAGGAGCTGCCATCTCCCCACATCCTTCACACCTACAATGTACAAAAGCCCAGTGCTGCATAACCTGGGCAGCCATTTCCCCCTCATGGGTCACGCTGCCATGTGGAGGTGGTCCCGGGCTGTCTCCCAGCAGTGCCCCCGCCTCTCATCCTACTATCTGTCTCTGCTAGCTCCTTCCCACAATACCTGGGCACAACTTCTCTGGCCTGTTGTCTGTACCAGACCAATGAACCTTGCCAGGGAGTGCTCCCAATAAAGCTTGCCTTGAGCTGACCAGTACTTTGTGTGGTTGCCTGTCTATGAACCCAAACTCAAACCTTATACTAAGACCAGGTTCACCTGTATTTTGGTTATTGGGTGTTATTAGTGGCAGAAAACCAATGAAGTCAGGTGTGCACAGGCACGGGTAGATGCCAGCCCATGGAAGGCCCCCGTGGAACAGCACATAAGAAACTTGCTTAAAGATACGAGGACTCTTTCAGACAAGAAATGTTAACTGCTTTTACTAAGTAATCTTTAAGGGATGACACAAGCTTTGCAGGTTGTATTTCTTCTTTGCTTATTAAGGGGTTAAGTGGGAGAACCAATGCCAGCATTACAACAACTGAATGGACAGAATACAAACTTTCATGTTCTTGCTTTCCTCGTTCCTGACATGTTCATCTGGCATCAAATTTATATGGCTACAAATGGGAATCAATCATGCACGGATCTGGTGGAGGGAAATCCTGAACTTGCTTTTCGTACCATGTTTACTGTCGAGCTTTTGGAGCTGCTGATCCAAGTACTCCTGACGTTTTGTTAACGCATTCAGCCATTTTCTACGTAGTCTCTCTAAATCACGATCCTGAAAGAGAACAAGTGAAATCATATCCAACACCATGTCAAGACAATGTATCCAAAAGTGATGCTCCATCTTACCTAACTCTAACGAAGAGTCTTCAAAACGTCCAATGTGTCACCAAGAAAACAAGATTGCATGGCTTTCAATTCTTTTTAAACCAAGAGAAGCTTCTCTTAATTCTACTTTCCCATAAACTTGGTGAAATACCCTCATGTGCTTCAAAAACACCAAGTAGCACACAACAGTCTCCTGGTTACTGCCACCCGTAGCTCAGAACAGTGTTCTTCTTGAGACTGTTTCTGAAAGGACAGTCACTGGGATCCAGAACAAGTCTGCTAGTCTGACTTCTCCAGACTCAAGGGATGAACAAAGAGTCATCTACAAGGCTTCCCCCAGCCCCGGGCAGAACTCACTAACAGTACTCAACAATTCTCAAACTCATACAAATTTCTACACCCTGGAACCATCAGAAGGATGCCTCAAAATTTGCAACCACACTTTCCACACATTTCATTAACTTCCTGAAGACAACAACAAGGAAATGCTTCTCTCCTCAGTTTTATGCCTTTTGGGGGTGACAGGGAAAAAGGACAGGATTTGTTATCAACAGACTGACAACTCCACCAGTCAACACCTGCCTACACGACAATCTTACTTCATTTCCTCTGGTAATGAAGTTACACGACTGGGTGGGTTGGTGGAATGCCGCACACATGTCGAGGATCTGGATTTCACCAGGGCACTTAACCAAATGGCCCGTGACATTCTTGTGGACAAGATGGAGAAATGTGCAGTGCATCTACTTGAGTGAAATCACAGAGGAATCAAGCATCTCATCCAAAGATTTGTGATTAATGGAATAATGTCAGCTTAAAAGAAGTCTCCTCCGCAGTACCATAGGATTTCATCTTTTAACCCTATCTGACTCAAGGTTTTTATCTGTGCCTTATAGGAAGACAGACATTTCTATCAAATTACAATGATGCAACTCCAGGAGAGTGACTCTATGGGATGACATAATCAGGCTCCAAAGAGCTTCTGACAGTCCTAACTGATGACTAACAAGATGAAACTCCACAGACAAACAGAATCCTGCAGAAGATTAGAAAAGAAGGGCTGAAAAACCTTAAATGACTCCAGGAAAAGTTAATATGGAAATATTCAAATATGGAAGCCCATTAGGACAGAACACAGGCTCAGGGTGAGCTGATGGCAACAGTGCAAAGTGTGGGCAACTCCGTTCAAAGGCAGAAAAAGTCCAGGGAAGAGCAGCTGGAGAATCAGATCTTCAGGAGAGCCTGGGGTCGGAAAGGGATAAGGGTCACACGATTTTTCTGCTGTTCTAGGAGACAACATTCATTGTTTCCTATTTTGTTTTATTTTCAGAAAAGACAGCATTTGAACCAAAATTAATTGTTTAATTATTAGCAATTAACACTGCAGAGATCCAGGAATGTGCAATTATGTACTTTAATCAAGCTGATTTGATGAGGCTAACAAGTGCTAAATTACCTGGTAGCTGTCCATGTCTTCCTCTTCCTCCTACAAGAAAAATATATTATATAGCACCAGACTATGAATCTGAGAGGACTGGCTGCACTAAGCAGTCTGAACCATTCCTCAGGGTTGATACTAGGGAATCCAACTGATACACTGTGGCATCTCCCACCCACCCTGGCTCCCACCCACTGGGAGTTCTGTAGTTGTCAGGAAGCAGAAGGAAAACCTTGCTCTTAGCACAGGAAAATGAAGAGCATTCTTCTGACCTTTTCGGGAACCAGTACAATCCTCGCCCTGCTGGGTTTACAGTCCCACTCACAAGGGGAAATCAGACACCTGCTGGCAAGTAGTCTTTCCAAGCCAGTGGGGGGTTTCTGCCGAGGGGTGGGGCCCCTGGGGAGGTTGTCTGACAGGGTGGAGATTTGGGAGGCTGATAGGTTTTAACCCTTGGTTTGACAAGTGCCTTACAGTGCGCTGCAGTGATTCAATGGAGATGTGATACACTTTAACAAGAGCAAAAGCAAATCAGGCATCACTTTCTAAGGTATCAAAGGACAGACTGAATGAACCCATCATAGGAGGCAGCTTTCTGACAAGCTCCTGGGGCTGCCCTCCCATTCCCACAAACCGGCAAAAGGCACAGAAACTTACATGGACGCTCTCTTGAGCTTTAGGGGCTCTGAGTGGCCTGACCTTCACACAGCCAATGCCAACAGACAGTATACATTCTTCCATCAGCGGTAAAGTCCCAGACTCTTGCACAGACTTCACTTCAACCTGGACTCGCCGGGACTGGCCCTGGGTCACAGATCATTTTAAGTAACAGAGTTAAGTTTGTTGACTTTCAAACTTTTGGTTTAGAGAGACTCCTACAGGCCGATGTTGAGAAAACTACTCAGCCTTTATGACACTATCTCACTCCATTTCACGAATGTCGGAAGTACTAAAATATAAACTTCAAAACTGATCAAGAAAAATTACCTCCCTCCAAAGTGAGTAGACAGACACAGATTATATCCTTTGCATATTTTTTCAATCAAAAACACATTAAAAGAAAACACTCTAACAGAAGAAATACAAACAGCTGGCCAACAAGAAATATTCAGCTAACTGATAATCAGACAAATTACAATAAACATAATACACCTTGTTTTCACTTATTAAACAAGAAATTACCATTTACAATTTTTCAATTTATAATATTGCCTTAGGGCTTATGAAACATCATTTCCTACATGGTAGTCAGGAATTTCAATTGGTACAAACTTTTTGCAAAGCAGTTTGACTTAAAAATGTTAGCTTCTTGTAACCCAACACAGTAATTCAAATTTCTAAGAACTGGCTCCACAGAATCTCAAATACTTATGCCTACACAGAGAATAAGAAGGAGGGTAACACTGACAATGTCCTCAACCAACTGTGGTACATATAATACAATACTGCGCAGTCACAATACATTGCTATAGAAAGACATAGTAAATTAAATTGCCAAATCATATGACCTACTTTAAAAAGCCACCAGAGTTAGAACTAAAGACTTGCAACCACAGCCTCAGGAAAACAAAGTTGACATTGCACAAGGAAGAGCTGCTGGGGACATTGCTCAGCTGCATGTTCCCAGGTACTGTGACACCCAGGGAAAGTTGGGGCTGGCATCCCATGTGGATACTGCTCCCAGGAGAAATGCTAAGTGACCATGTAGTACCAAGGAAGCAAATTTTTAAAAAGAGCATTCCCAGCTTTCCCAAATTGCTTCTAACATGGTTTACAAAATTTAGGGTGGAAAAACAGCATTTGAAAATGGATTCAAAATATTCAATTTCAAGTGAATATCCTTGCCCTCCTCCATCAGATAGCAGTTCTTCATATAATCAACAAAACCAACTTAGGCAATCATTGGTCCTATCAAGCTCCATTTGAATAGATAGGATACAGAAGCCTTTTGATTTAATGTTTTCCAAGGACCATGCATCAAACACATTGTGGGGAAAATATCTCAGAAAACAACTTAATAGTCTAAAATATTTCCTATTGGCTACTTTTGGTACATTTTTTGAGCCAGAAAGTGACCTATTCTGAAGGTGTACTTGAGTGTGTGTGCCTAAGAAGGAAAAAAAAGGGAGGGTGGGAGGCTAGGATCTGAATGGATCACTATCCCATAGTAAAGCCGTGAGAGGTAGAGGTAAGCTGACTAAAATACCTGTCACTGCCGATACATAACCATGCTACCTGAAAACAACAGAAATAGCAAACGGGGCTGGTGTAGTAGCATGCCAATCTTGCCTGCAGTGCTAGCATCCCATAGAGTCACCAGTTCTAGTCCCAGCTGCTTCATCTCCTATCCAGTTCCCTGGATGATCCAAGGCTGTGGGACCCCACAACCACATGGGAGATCCGGAAGAAGTTCCTCACTCCTGGCCTCAGATCAACTCAGCTCTGCCAACTGTGGCCATTTGGGGAGTGAACCAGCAGATGCAAGATCTCTATCTCTTCTCTTTGTAAACCTGCCTTTCAAAATAAATAAACAAATTTTAACCCTTCTTCCTCACACACACAAATCCTGCATACACAGCAATTGTAATCTTAGCAGTTGTGTTCTGCCACTTTCCTGTTAAACAACGATACATCTGATTTTCAAACAGATTAAACTGAAATAAGCCTAGCACTCAGAACCTCTGCACTGGCAGTCAGGTTTACGTGGTTGTTTTTTCTGTTTTTCAGCTTGACCTATACAGGATTTCTCCTCACAGGAAGTGCAATGCAGCTTTCCTGTTTTTACGTTTTGTTTTGTTTTTAGACTTTTCTTTAACATTGGGAATGCAGATATACAGAGAGAAGACAATACAGAGAGAAAGATCTTCCACTTCCTTAATAGCTCTGCTAATGGCCTGAGAAAAGCAGAGACCAAGGCCTAGTGCTAGAACCCCTGGACCCTCATGGGAAACCTGGAAGAAGCTATTGGCTCCTGGCTGTGGCCTGGCCCAGACCTGGTAGTTGTGGTCATTTAGAGAGTGAACCAGCAGATCGAAGACCTCTCTGTCCCTCTCCCCAACTATTTAAAATAACAACAAACAAAAAAAAAAAGGAGAGAGCGAGCAAGCTTGTCCTGATAAACTTAACACATCTTTGAACACTTTCAGGAAAGAATGTCAGAAGTATGAAAAGCATGACAAATACTTGAATATTCTACTGAAACTAAGCCATGGAAAATTGGTCTTGCCTTCCAGTAGACAAATTTCCAAGGCAGCCAAGGAAGGGATCTATATATATATTTTTTAACAGACGCCCAGAAAAAAAAAAGATGTTCTTCACACCTTTAAGAATCCCATTTTATAGATACAAATCTTATGCTTTAATTTAAAATCATCCCCTTTTGCTGTTACTTGCTCATGTGTGAATGTACTTGCTAAAACTCCTGTACTGGGGTCAGAGAATGAGTGTTCTAACCATCCTGAAACATTCAGAAACGTAAGTATCTCAGCAAACATTCTCCTTCCTTTTGCCTTTTTATATGGAGCTTCAAATGCTTCCTACTTTCAAAAACATTTAATATTTTACTCAATTTTAACAACATGGATACTCTCATAGGTCGCAATAACTTACCAAGTGCTAAATTAACATAAAGCACAGCAAGAATACTTTCAACTTGAATAAGCAAATTATATCAAAATTCCCCCACTATTTTAAAAGAGATTTATTTATTAATTTATTTTGAAACATGGGGTTACAGAGAAGAGACATCTTCCATCCACTGGTTTACTCCCCAAATGGTCACAAAGACTGGAGGTGAACTAATTGGAAGCCAGAAGCTTCTCTTGGGTCTCCAATGTGAGTACAAGGAGGGACCCAAGCATCTAGGCAATCCTGTGCTGCTCTCCCAGGTCATCAGCAGGGAACTGGATCAGAAGTGGAGCTGCTGGCACTGGAACCAGCGCCTGCCTATATGGGACATGCTGGCACATCAGGCAGACACTTACTGTGCTACATCATAACACTGGTCCTATCTTGCTTACCTGACTGTGCTAACTATTCATGAGGCAATCAGGGCTAAACACCCACCTCTTCTACTCCATATGCTTCTGTTGTATGAATTCTGGTTCTGACTCCTATCCCTGCAGCCGCATTGAACAGCTCCCTTGTGTCAAACACTATTCTCTCTATACAGTATGCCTCTTACCTGTACCTGAATCCTATGGAGTTGGTGTTATCATCCCCACACTATAGAAAAAGAGACTATGAAACTTTCTCAGACACAATCACAACACAGTACAGCCAGGAGAGACCCAAGCATGTCACACTTGATTGCTAACTCGTCCAGCTAAGTCATATTGCTTCTCCTTGTCTTCTTTGAAGTCTTCCAGGACAGCTTATCTTTGTCTTACTTAACACTAACATAAGTTGATTTTATAATATAAATAGTAATATACAAGGAAAGAAAATACACAGGAAGAAGGAGACAACTTTAACTGAAGAAATGGACTGGGTTAGTCCAGATTCCATCAGCATCAGCATTTCTGCTAAAAGGACTCCAGTATTATGTTTTCTGGGAGCAATAATACAAGCATTCACAATCTTCTTACCTGTCGGAGTTGGAAGATTCCTCCTGTTGGGACATCCTTTGCAGAAACCACTTCTACGGGGCAGTAGTCACCATTCTCATTCTGTTCTAAGATTTGAACCCAGAATTCCAACTTCCTGGTAACTTCACTCCATCTAAGAAATAGTTGAAGTTCTTGGAAAATCATACATTTCTATTTCAATACAGGCAGCTTAGGACTCCTACTCACAACAGTTAACAAAAAACAATGACCTCCAAACAAGAGTAATTCAGGAGAAAATCTATACATATTTCAGTGAGTGACATGCACGTGCATGCAGCATATGTAATGAAGATAAACTCACAGTAGAACTAGAAGGGGACCCTTCATTTTGTTCAAAGAGGTATGATATTGACAAACCCATTCCAAAGTGGTTATTCTAAAGCTTGAGCATTCCAAACAAGTGTACCAAAGTTTGTTCAGGAGCAGCCTTTCATAGGAAGGCCAACAGAGTGCCTTAATGCTTACTGACAAACATTTCTTTCTTTTTCAGGAAAATCAAGGAGAAACATCTCACCTTCTAATTTAGTGTCTGCTAAAATTTACTAAATGGAAAAAAAAAGCCTTATTGATTCCTTTTTGGTTCTTCCATTTCAGTTAACAGACAAGTCTATCTCCACCCATCACTGACACTATACAAAAGAACTCCAGAAGGCAAAGTGAACCTCAGTGCTAGAGTGGGTCTTGATCACCCCTCAGGGCAGCTGCTTAGAAGGAATTCATACTACGGAGTGACTAGCCCCCCAAAATTCGTTCCACTGTTTCTTCTTAAGCAGCTGCATTCATTTTTTCCCATCACTGCTCAAAGCTCACTTCCTTAGTCAAGTTCAACCGCATGATTAATAACCTGCAGCTAACGCCATCTGTCTGTGGAAAACTGCTAATGCTCAAGAAGCAGCATTCCTCCTAAGTGACACCACTGATCTCAAGCAAGTTTTAAAAGCTGTACTGGAGTTCAAGGGAAACTCTTTAAGACTCACCTGTCCCGAAGACTACGTGTTTTTGCTTGAATGATTCCCAAGTCCCATAGGGCTGGGTTTTTCCGAGGATCATTCATTTTATGTCCATATACTTCAATTGCCAATGCCCCTTCCGAAAGATGCTCAATGAAGTCTTCGGTGATGTTAACAGAAAACTCCTGAAACACAATCGCTCATTTTAGAGGAGCAAACACTTCCCAGTAATCTAATGCTTATTTGTAACAGACATCACATAAAGTTAATCACACCAGCATGAAACTGAATATGTGTCTTAGGTACAGAACAGAACTGTCATTTAACACTCTGCATCAATGCTCAGATGGCCTAATGTTCTTTAAAATAGGGTAACTGAATTCAATACAAAAGTAAGTGGAATGCAACAAGGTAGCTGTGTGCTGCTGTAAAAAGTTTTCCCCAATCTTTCAGAGGTTAACTTTAGTAACAGAAAATAACAATCACTAGAGTACAAACATAACCTAATCTAAAAAGAAAAGTTCCCCCAACTTCTCAATCTTTATAAAACAGCATGTTGCAACAGGATTTAGCCCTCACACAGTTTATTAAAGAGCCATGGGATGTTCGGTCTTTGGCAGAGCCCCCTGTTCCCTCTCACTTACTCATCGGTACACAAAAGGCACATCTCTGCTGTAAACAAAGGAGAAGGCAACACAGTTCTCAGAAACAATGAGGTGGATTAAGAGTGGTGTTACCAGCAGAAAAGGGCCCAGAGCCTGACCCACCAGGTCCCTAGTCCCCAGCAGACTGCCCTCTCTGCAGCAGTCACCTTCTGAAAACAAGTACTATCATGAACTACAAATGCGGCAAGGAGCAAGCCACAGAGTAACAACACACCAAGCAGAGCTTTAGAGAAAGCAAGTTCCTGTTGGTTCTGTATCTTTTCTTTTCTCTACAATATTATTAATCTTTTACATTCTTTTCCCAATAATCTAATTCAAAATACAACTCTTCTAGGAGAAGAGTACACATATATGAGAATACTTCCAAAAGTTCATAAAAAAAGGGGGAGAGGAATGAAAAGTATATTTTTGGCACAGAAACAGTTGAAGTCCATGCAGGTTTTTTTTTAATGGCATATTTTTTCATGACATTTCTAAACATTTCTTAAATGCACTAATTTCAAAATTTTTGTATCAAAATACATATATGCTTTCTTTCCATTTTCTACAAACTTTTAAAAATATCATAACATACATACACATATATGTGTATACTTAAATACAGATATCCACACACAAACCCATTAACTTTGAACTCAAGAGTTAAACACACTGATACTTTTGTTTCTGGCTAAGGCCCTATTCCAAGACACTGTTCTAAGACTATTTAATGGCATAATCATTCCAAGAAATAAGGTTTGGGTTTTTGCTGGTTTGTACAGGTTTAATTTAAATGTTCACCTAGTGTGGAAAGCAAACTCACATTGCAGTGATCAAAAACAACCATGCAGTGGGGTTCCTTGCCAGCAGCAGAGGAGGAGGTGTCCACCTCGGGGGCCACGGTGACCGGCTCCTGCTGATCCCAGAAGCTGTATTTGCAGAACACAAAGTGGGACAGGTGCTGTGGCAACCCAGTGGCTTGGAGTATCTTAACCTGTAAGAGAAAAGCAAGCTCAGTTTGCTTTTTAAATCAGAAGGTTCCAAGAAGCAGTTTGAGACAGAGGTAGGGGTTTTGGTTTTGACTACGTCACTCACTGATAGTTTCTGACAGCAAAACTGTATTTGTGAAATGAGGGTAACAACTGCCACATTTAAGTGACAGACCCTAATATGGGGACAATGATCTTGATGATAAAGGTGCGTGTTGTAAAGCATTTAGAAGCTGGTGAAGCACTGTAACCAACTCAGATGAAAACAGTCCTGATCCATCCACACCATTCTCTGACACGTTTGGCTAACCACTGGTGTCTTCAGAACACAAGACCGTTAACAACCATGAATGAAAAACAAAGTCAGTGTACGTGACAATGAACCACAAAGTTAGCAAACAGCAAAACATTTACTTGATATTTTAACTACGAAGAATTGAATACATAAGTAGAAACAATACATACTACTACAGCATTATTGTTTTTTTAGGAGAACTTCAAAGGCACTGGAAATGTGTACATTCAAGAGCTGGCGGGGACAGTGGAAGGAAGTGAAGTCAGTGAGAATTGACCATCTCTGTGCTGTTTCCTGAATGCTTCCCTATGCAGAACGATGGAGCACATGATTTTCATCACAACAAAGTGTAGAGAAAGATATACCTAATCAGAACCAAATATTCCCTACAGGAAATGTCCAAATCAGATCTAAAGTACCCAAATATTCTTAGTATTTCTTTTGCAAGACAGCAATAAGGATGATTTTTACCTTGGATATGTTGTGAGAAGTTATAATACTCTAAAACTCCTTCAACTATGAAGCAAACCAAAGCATTAAGTTAATTACATCATACTAGGCTATGATTTTTTAAAAAGATTTATTTATTTATTGGAAAGCCAGATATACAGAGACAGGAGGAGAGACAGAGAGGAAGATCTTCCGTCCGATGATTCACTCCCCAAGTGACCACAACAGCCGATGCTATGCTGATCCTAAGCCAGGATCCAGGAACTTCTTCTGGGTCTCCCACACGAGTGCAGAGTCCCAAGGCTTTGGGCTGCCCTCAGCTGCTTTCCCAGGCCACAAGCAGGGAGCTGGATGGGAAGTAGAGCTGCCGGGATTAGAACTAGCGCCCATATGGAATCCCGGTGTGTTCAAGGCGAGGACTTTAGCCACTAGGCCACACCGCTGGGCCCTAAGCTATGATTTTTATAAACCCAATTCCACATCACTGGATATTGATCATACAATGTATGCTTTACCTAATCACTTTCCACATGGTGTATGAGTTAATCTACCTGCAGTAAATTTACCTTAATTTTAAATTTAATTGAAATAAGTCACAACACTTTGTTTCAGTTTACATAGTTCACCAACCACAAATACAAACTTAACATTTCTGTAAGCATTAGTAACGCCCAGGCAATAATCCCACAAGGCAGATGACTTTATTTTCCTCCATTTCAGGCATCATAGAGGGTGAGCATCCAATGGGAACCTTCCTTATAACTGTATCATAACAACTGTGATGTCAACCAGAGTTTGAAGCATCCGGACACCAACTTCCCAACAGGCTATGTAGAGTGGACTCACTAACTCTACTTACACCTACAAGCCAAACTGAGTAGCTCAGTATTCTATAATTTTTCATGACATTCTAAAAAAATTTTTTTTCTTTAAATTTTTATTATATTCTTTAAAATGAAAAGGTATGTTGGTGCAAGTGTTGTGACACAGCAGGTAAGGCCAGCCTCCCATATGGACACTGGTTCAACCCTGGCTACTCCATTTCTGATCCAGCTTGTTCAAGACCTCTGGCAATTCTAAATTTTAAAAGTCTGCCGGGCCCAGCAAGATGGCTCAGTGGCTAAGTCTTTGCCTTGTTTGTGCTGGAATCCCATATGGGCACCAGTTAGTGTCCTGGCTGCTCCACTTCCCATTCAGCTCCCTGCTTGTGGCCTGAGAAGGCAGTGGAAAATGGCCCAAAGCCTTGGGACCCTGCAACCACATGGAAAAATTGGAAGCTTGTGGCTCCTGGCTTCAGATCACCTCAGCTTTAGCCACTGTGGCCATTTGCGGAGTAAAGCAGTAGATGGGAAGATCTCTCTCTATAAATCTGCCTTTCCAGTAAAAATAAAAATAAAATATTTTTAAATGTTTTTAAAAAAAATCTCTGCCGCTTATCAACTGTTGTGCAGGTACAAATTACTTAAATTCATTTTTTTTTAGGTTTAATTTCTTCCTAGAGAAAATTAGAGCATTAACAACCATAATGTTTTGAGTAAATATTCAGTATACACTTCTTGGTGACTGGATTCCACCTGAAAGCTACATTTACCCATTGAATTTAATTATAATTATAACGTTGAAATTAAAAAAAAAAAAAAAACAGGATTTAACATGCTGAACACTGCTGTATACACAAGTTCCCAGGGATTAAGAACACCAGGAATGCAGTTTGTCCACGTATCTAGAATATGGCCTGTTTGAGCTTTAAGCTTTTACATGCACACATGGAAACCACCACAAGGTGTCAGAGTATCACAGACTTCAACCCAAAGCTACTCAAAGTCCGAAGGCAAGGAACGCCAGCAGGTGCTGGCCTTGCTTGAGGTTTCAGAATACACTACACCTTTTCTTTTTAAAGATTTATTTATTTTTATTGCAAAGTCAGATATACAGAGAGGAGGAGAGACAGAGAGCAAGATCTTCCGTCCGATGATTCACTCCCCAAGTGACCGCACTCCTGGTCGATCTGAAGCCAGGATCCAAGAACCTCTTCCAGGTCTCCCACACGGGTGCAGGGTCCCAAAGCTTTGGACCGTCCTCGACTGCTTTCCCAGGCCACAAGCAGGGAGCTGGATGGGAAGTGGAGCTGCCGGGTTAGAACCGGCTCCCATATGGAATCCCGGTGTGTTCAAGGTGAGGACTTTAGCCGCTAGGCCACGCCGCCAGGCCCCACTACACCTTTTCTTAGTGTTACTAAAAATATTATTGTGCATCTTGTGTTATGGAAAAATAAATCCAAACTTTCTTAGAGCCAGTGATAGTCATCACTCATGTCTTAAATCTCTAAGTCCCTTTGATTCTCCACTCACCACCCTACACACTAGCATTGTTTATTTTTCATTCTTTTTTTTATCTAAAAAGCTATCAGAGTACAGTTTCTTTAAAAATCACTTCCCACTGAAAGAAGTCATGTTGCTTGTAGAAGTGGCTAATTACAGTTCTGGGACAGAAAATGAGTAAGATAAGCCCAGAATGCTCAGAACAACTACAAAACAAGCCAGTGATCTCAATCTGTGAGGACACAGTCAAGTGGCCCTGCCAGCCAAAGATGGCACTGCGTGACTGCCAATACAGGTACTTGATACGAAGGATTGAAACACATTAAATCCCAAAGAGTGAGACGCAAGCGACTACAGGCACATGGAGCCAGAGCCTCAGGATTAGATGGAACCCAAGAGACACTTCAAACTCCATTTGCAAGAAAACTGAACACCTATACTGTGACAGTAAAAGAGTAATAATTTGAGATCATCACACCATGGTTATGCAGGGTTTTTCAAAGTAGTCATTTTGGGGGAGACTTACTAACCTATTTGGGCTGAAACAGTATGCCTGTGATTGCTTCAAAACAGTCCTGAGGGAGGAGGCATCATGGACGTGGCTCTAATACACAGCACAGCCAAAACAAAGCTGGTCTGTGAGCTGACCACTGTCGAGCAAGGCCTGGGGGGACTGAAGCTCCTTTTCTTACTACTGTCAGATGCTTAATATCTTCCATTTAGAAAATCAACCATTCCAAATTCATTTTTTAAAAAGTCCATGTTATCCAGGATATATTCTCAAAGGAGATATTCCAAACTCAAGTACAAACAACAAGAATGAACTTGGGGTGATTTAAAATCTTTCTCCGTCATTCTGAAGCAATCAACTTAGACATCAAATACCTACTTAATTTTTGCAAAGACCGCCAGAAAGAAGCCCAACTCTAACGAGCCCTGGCTCTGGCACCCAATGCATAGCTTCTTCTTTTCAGCATCAACTTCGATGCTAGAACTATGCATAAAGACAACTGGTGTAGGATGGATTGCGAATTAAGATTTGGGTTTAAGAAGCCAGTGCTCCAGAACAGCATGTTAACACGACGTTTGTGATACTGACATTACAGTATTTGTCCAAGTCCTGGCTGCTCCGTGTCTCATCCAGCTCCTTGGTAACAACCCTGGGGAAAGTAGTAGAACATGGCTCATGTGCTTGGGCCCCCGCCACCCATGTCAGAGACCCAGATAGAGTTGTGGGCTTTGGCCTGACCCAGACACGTGTGTTGTAGCCATTTGGGGAGTAAACCAGCCAACAGAAGATAACTCACTCCATCTCTCCCTCCTAGTTTTTCAAACAAGCAAAACATTTTTAAAAAGAAAGCGAGTTAGGATTTCTTCACTTGGCCTTTTAATGGCTTCCTGCTAACTTCAGCATTTTTCCTGTGCCCCTGGCTGACTTCCTATCCTCAAAATGCTGCTTTTTAAGAGGCTTCTATAGGAATTCTCAACCAATGGCAGTGCTACCCACAGCTATCCTCAAAATGCTGCTTTTTAAGGGGCTTCTACAGGAATTCTCAACCAATGGCAGTGCTATCCACAGCAGATGGAAACACAGATCTGTGCGCTTCCAGAATAAGTGGGTGGGAATCCAGCAATGCCATGGTCTCCTAGCAATTACCCATGGAAACCCATGGCAGTGGGCCCAGCGCGGTGGCGCAGTGGTTAAGGTCCCCGCCTTGCATGCCCGGGATCCCATATGGGAGCCAGTTCTATCCCGGCAGCCCCACTTCCCTTCCAGCTCCCTGCCTGTGTCCTGGGAAGGCAGTCGAGGACGGCCCGAGGCTTTGGGACCCTGCACCCGTGTGGGAGACCCGGAGGAGGCTCCTGGCATCGGATCGGCATGGTATTGGCCGTTGTGCTCACTTGGGGAGTGAATCATCGGAAGGAAGATCTTCCTCTCTGTCTCTCCTCTCTGTATATCCGCCTTTCCAATAAAATAAATAATAATAAAAATAAATCTTAAAAAAAAAAAAAAAAGAAAACCCATGGGAGCTTACGAGCTTCACAGCTTACCATTCTTTCAGGTTCAGCTCAAGTCTCATCTCCCCAGACTGCTATCTGAACTCACTGCCTTTACTCTGCAGAGCACAACTTGGTCTGGCTCCATTTGTGCCACACAGTACTTGAGTCTCATATACACCAGTATGCAGTGTCCCTGGAATCTGATACTGTGTGGGAGAGCTCACAGGAAATACATGTATGGGAATAGCATCCACTATACCCTAACTCTTATATTCTTTCTTTTTTAAGGAAAAAAAAAAAGATTTATTTATTTCAAAGTCAAAAACAAAGAAACAGGGAGAGAACTTCCATTTGTTGCTTTTCTCCCCAGATGGTTGCAAGCCAGGCAGGAGCTTCTTCCAGGCCTCCCACTGGGTGGCAGGAGCCCAGACACTTAAGCCATTTTCGGCTACTTTCCCAGGCACATTAACAGATCACTGGATCTCAAGTAGAGTGGCCAGGACTCAAATCAGTACCCATATGGGATGCCAGCATTACGGGTGGTGGCTATATCTGCTAAGCAATAGCACTGGCCCAAATTCTTGTATTCTTTAGAGTAAATAAACCTCTTGCTCAAGTACAAAAAGGATTTGGTATTGGGCCATGTGGGAAGAGCCTAGAGGACAGCATAAGGAAAGGTATTTAGATGGAGAAACCATGATGAATGACCAATGGGAGTGGCCTAGGAAGAGGAAGAGAACCGTAACTGAGGTAAAGTTGCAGCTTGAGGAGGAATGAAGAGTCCAAGAGCAAGAACAAAATGGTGTGAAGACCTGGACAGAGAAATGTAAGCACTGACTCAGGTTACAAAGGAGGTAACCTGTCCAGGGTGTCAGGGTAATGCATTACACAGGCCTGCTACTTCACACTTCAAAATAGAACCCAATGTATACCATCTAAATACCTAGAATCCTTAGAATCAGTCCCATTCCAGCTACCTCTAAAATGAAACTGACAACTCACCATGCAGACTAGTCTGTTCTCTGTGGCCTCCTTCTCCAAGGACATTTCTGTGGCATCATCACCTCCTGCAATTCTTTCCCCAATTTCACCACTGATTCGCATCACCTCCACATGCAGCCGACCTGCCACCTAGAGGGGGAAAAAACAAACCTGTCCAGATTTGATTCCTTCTACTTCAAGACAGCTTCTGTTTTAGAGCTGAATTGCTAGGTGAATGGTCCAGTGGTCTGCCATATCAGGGGTTTCACTTTTCTTGGTTTTAGTTATCCAATGAACTGAGGTTCAAAAATACTAAATGCAAAGTTCAAGAAACTGGGTTTCAAACTGTATGCCATTTTGATTTGTGTGATGCAATATTATACCATTCTGCTCCATCCTATTCAGAATCTGAATCACCTTTTGATCCTGTGTATCCACACCTATCCATTAAACACTAAGTGCAGTGCCTTGTTACCAATTCCAATTTTGTGGTATCACAGTGCTTGTATTTAAGGGACCTCTGTTCCACTCAATAAAGGCCCCTAAGGAGGTTAGAAACTCAGATACACTAAAGAGAAGCTATAAAGTACTTTAAGTTAGAAGAAACCTAACAATTACTCTCCCCTCACACCATTTGGAATAACCACAACAGCTCTATGGAACAAGATATTAATAATATACTTACAACTTTTGCCATTATTAAAGTAATAACAGTATATCATTAGTACCCTATTGTTTCTGAACTTTTCCCCACAGCAAACAAGGTATAAAGAGAAAACGCACCTCTCCTTTCTGGTTGACAATTGGCACAGCATACTGTAACTTGACGTCATAGAAAAGAGATTCAAGGAAAACATTGGCCACCCCAATGAGGCTGTGATTTTCTTGCTCATCATAGAATGGGTCAGCACGCTTAAAGTATGAGCGTATTACCTGCAAAGATTCAGAACATGCACCTTCAGAAAATTCACTCAGAGTCAATGAATTCAAGCTACTGCTTTAGAATGCACTCCAGTTTAAGTAAACTTTACTTTCATCACTACATCCCAATTCTTATTTTCCTTATTTTTTTCCTTTTCTTTTTAGAAAGTTTATTTGAAATAGCCACACGGAGTCAGAGAGAAACAGAGAGGCAACTTCTATCTTCTGATTTACCTCCCAGATGGCCACAAGTCAGGAGCTTCATTCATGTCTCCCATGAATGTAGCAGGGGTCCAAACAATTCCACCATCCTCTGCTGGTTTCCAAGGAGCATCAGCAGGGAGCTGGGTCAGAAGTGGAGGAGCCAGAACTTGGACTGGTGAACACATGGTATGCCAGCATTATAATAAGTACCAGCCCCAACTCTTGCAGTCTTTAAAACAATTTTATTGCTAAACTACTATTGAGACCATGACTGTGGCGTAGTGGGTAAAATTCACCACTTGTAAAGCTAGCATCTCATATAGGTACCACCAGTTCAATCCTTATTTGCTCCACCTCTAATACAGCTGCCCACTAGTGGCCTGGGATAAGCAGTTAAGATCGCCCAAGTGTTTGGTCCCCTTCCACAGACATGGGAGACCCAGATGAAGCTACAGCTCCAGCCTGCCTGCTCCAGTACTGGCTGTTGTGGCCTCTAGCAGTGAACTACTATGTGGAAGCTCTGTCTCTCCATCCCTAACATTGACTTTCAAAGTAAATAAATAGTTAAAAAAAAAAAAGAAGTACAGCACTATATTATTTAGTTATGCATGCACACACTTCCTCTTTCCATTTAGAAATGTTGGCAGCATTCTTCACCCATGAGAGGGTAATGCCAATATCACTGGATTACTTTTATTACTTTTTTATGTGGAAATTTTGCCTCACAAATAGTTGAAGTAACATATTGACTAGAAAAAAATGCAGAACACATCACACTTCCTTTGAGGGAAGAGGGCTATCTCACATCTGCTGCTTTTCCTCCTATGCCATCAGCAGATACATTTCTGCTGCTGCCAAAGAAGGGTGACCCTAGGGGTGAGTGGCTGCTTTTTTTCCTTTTGCATTTGTCATTATGGTTGTTGTGTTTATAAGCTGAAATAGCAGAGAATACAGAAGAAAATCAAAAATATTGCAAGCAAAAAATGTCACCTATCATCATCATCTGGAAAAATAAATGTTATGAAACAAGGAGCTAAGTAGTAAACACTTCTATGCAGAAACAGCCCAACAATATGAAAAACACATAGCAAGCATTACTATTTGAAATATGCACAAGTTCATAACAGACCTCAATGAGAAACACTGTAACGTGAAGAAATAATGGCACCACAGAGTTCTAGCACACCTACTTTAAGACCAAACTTCTTCAAAAACTAATCCAAACTGCACAAATATTAAGGGAACACTGGTGCTCAATTTTAAAAACACATACTGCTGGCAAGATTTAATGTGTTTAGAAGTAGGAAAAGCATCCTTTGATAGCACAGGAAACACACACAATCTTTTCTCTCCTCTCTCTCTCTCTCACACACACACACCAGCAGAAGCAGAACAGACCACCACAAACAAGAAAAACAAAACATAGCAGCAGGACAGGTTATTGAAGTCTTAACTGGCCACACAACCTAGAGAATTACAAGAAACTGTCTAGAAACTGGATTACAATTGTGGATAAGTGAACTTGCCCCTGCTGGACTGTGTGGGCTGTGCCAGTCTGGTTCCTTATATGACTGCCAGGTAGAATGTACCATAAGTTACTTACAGGTGTATCTTCTTCACATTCTTTCCACTCCTGATAAAGGTCTCTCATATCCAACAACCTGTTGTCCAATTTTTCCAAAGACCAAATCTGCTTTCCTTTTCCTTTTCTTCTCACTTGGATGGCAGGCTCACTAAGCAGAGAGCCTCGCTGCAAACACACAGAGGGTCTGAGTGGAGCATGAAGCTGTCTCCCTCCGTGGGAGTCATCAGAGAACATCACCCCCCACCAGCCAAAGAACTTCACAGCTGCCTGAACATCTTGCAAACTGTAACGCAATGCCTTTTTAGCCAACCATAATCAATCTCAAATTTATGTACAGACGTATACATATCTTTAATAGTAACCAGATATACATTTAAAACACAAAGCATCAGGCCATGATTAATGTTAAGTTGAAATAAAAAATTTCACTCAGAGAAGTCCGCAGGTTCCTAGCCCAAGAAAAGGAAATTCAAAGGCATGTTGCCTGGTTTGATTGATTTAGACACATTGCATACAACAAATGAACTATTGCCCTGTATCCCATGACAATGTATAAGCATTATATGTCAGTCAAAGCATTTTAAAAAAAAAATTTCAAAAACTATTTGATAAAGGCCATGGTACAACTACCGATTATCAGTGGGATAAAGAAGTTGTAAGCAACACAGGCCAGCAGAAGTCTGCAGGATATGTGGCTGTACTTGACCCTACCTAGGCACGAATTATCCATTAAAAAAAAAAAAACAGGTTGTACCTTCCTGGAGTGTAAAACACAAAAGGCTTAGAGGTGTCAACTGTGAGTTGTTCCACTTACACGCCCACATGGATGCTAACAACTGACACCAGCTTGAACGGACTGAAATTAGCAAGAACCACACAGAACGGGGCTGCATGAGAAGTACCTTTACATAGTAATATCACCACAAAAGAACTAGATTTCACTGTAGTCTTCTCAACTTACAAAAGCAATGTGATTTTAACATTCAATTTTTGTTAATTAAAGCATAAAATAGAAATTAAAATGCAGCTAAACATCTCTTCCACAGAGAGAAATACTCATCTAATCACTTTACATGTGCTGGCTTGTTAATCAACTCTTCTGAAAGTCTGCTCAGAACTTAGGAGAATTGTGAAATACATCAATGTTTCATTAATATTTTACCTATAATCATTTTAAGAAAATCTACATAATGATACAGTTATCCAAGAATTTTAAGGTAAAGGAAAAAAAAATCAGTGTTCCTAGGTACTGTAAAGGTCCATCAGCTGGTTAGTAAACAGTTATGAAAACCTCAGCAGGGATCTGTGGGTAGCAGCTCTTGGGGAGCAGGCCAAGCCAGGGATGAACCTGCACCGGCATAGTGAGCACAACTAGTCCCCTCAACCCAACTCCAGGAAGGTGGGAGTAGCTTGTGACCTTGTAACAGAACAAAGGGCCAAAGCACTTTGGCAAGACTAACCAGAAGACACTTCTCAGCCACAAACAATTTATTGCAAAGTCAGATATACGGAGAAGAGGAGACACACAGAGGAGGATCTTCCATCAGATGATTCAGCTCTCAAGTGACCGCAAGGGCTGGAGCTGAGCCAATCTGAAGCCAGGAGCCTCTCCCGGGTCCTCCGTGTGGGCGCAGGATCCCAAGGCTTTGGGCCTCCCTCAACTGCTTTCCCACATTACAGGCTGGAAGCTGGATGGGAAGCAGGGCCAACGGGATTAGAACCATTGCCCATATGGGACGCTGGTGCATTCAAGGTGAGGACTTTAGCCACTAGGCCACCGCACTGGGCCCACACAATCAATTTAAACTCATGTGAATTAAGATTTGAGTCAAAGGTCAACTGGTAGGATCAGAAGAGACAGCAAATCCTAATAGATAAGATATATACAAGGGAGCTACAAAAAGTTTGTGAAAATGCATATTAAAAAAAACACTATGCACAGATCTCAAAATTCTCACACCAAAACAAGCTTTTGTCTTTCAATTGCACTTCCCATGAACTTTTTAAAGTTCTTTCATATATGCACAATGGCAGAGAATTAAAAAGCAAATTCTGCTTGAGAAAAATAACGACAATCACAAAATGAGATAGACTTACGGGTCTAGACAAGACCAAAAATCAACCCCACAGGCACTTCAATCATTACGTAGACATAAAGCAATGGTACCCAACATCATCTGTGTCTCATCCATCAATGCCAATCTCACCTTCCTGTTGGCATCCAGGCTGGAGGCTGGAATCTGTAGAGTGACTTTATATTCTGTTCTTTTGTCCAGTTCCTCTGCAATGTAACTAGCTTCTCTCACTAGTAGATTAGCTTTCACAATTTGCTCCCTCAGCCGCATCAGGCTGTTATTCAACATTGCTTCTCTTTAAAAATAAATAAATAAATAAATAAATAAATAAATAAATAAATAAATAAAGTGGGGAGGCAGAAGTGAAGAACACACATAGCAACACATCAGAAAATTATGGTAATAATATGTTAATGCTGAAGCACAACCCAAATTCTACAACTCTGTCCTGCACAGAGAGACTATAGCACTGACACCGAACCATGCACACATTTGCATCTGGCTTACGTTACCAGCATCGGCCGACTGTGTAACAAGCTGGCCATAGCTCAGGACAGGGCTTTGCAAACTTGATCGAGTATGCAAATCACCTGGAGAATCTTGATAAATCAAGATAGGTCTTGTAATCAAGTAGGTCTAATCTGTATTCCAACCATCTTGAGGTAATAGGGATGCTGTTGCCTGGCTGCTGCTCAGACTTTTAAGCAGCATGGGGTTAGTGAAGTACAGTCTGCAACCATGGAATCAGCATTTTAGTGCAATGCTAATTAGTCCATGTAGAGAACAAACTTGCGAACTCCATCTCATTAGCATCGTGCTTTACCTACCTGAGCTAATCAGTCCAGATAACCGATTTTTTTTCTTTTTAAAAAAAAGCATCTACTCAAGCTTGAAAACCTAAAGCATAATACAGTGATAAGGAATACTTCTTGATTCAAACCCAAAAGCCACACAAACCAAAAACAAGGCAGCACCTAGCAAGAACATTTTTCAATAAATTAAGATAAACTGACAACTCCTACTGCAAAGTGATTCTTGGCTGTGACACTTTTTTACACCGGCTCCTCCACAACTCAATCCTACTTTGCGTCCCCATTGGTTACCCTTCCCAGGTGAGTTAAAAGTGGAGCACAGAAACCCCGCCACCTGCCCACCTCTCCTCAGACCACTGCCTCAAGCGCTGCTGAGCGCTGGGCGAGTGCAGCGAGAGCCTGTCCATGCTGCGGCAGTTCTGCTTCTCAGGGGACAGCCTGCGCCGGAGCTGCTCCAGCTCGTGCTCGTACATCAGCCGCTGGCGCTCGAGCGCAGAGCGCTTCTCTTCTTCATGCTGCTGCTCCAGGCTGTTCAATATGGATTGCATTGGATCTAAACACATTTTAAAAAAAGACAGATAAGTTCTCTTAGCATTAGCATAGAATACACTCAACTTTTCTTATTTACAATGACTTATACTACCTATTCTGAATTATATCCTGCCATCAATAAAGAAAAGGCAAATCTACAGGATATAACATACACAATTATGATATCACAAGAGTAAACCAGTGCTAGTCAAGTTTCAAGTCTGATAAACTGTATCAATGACAATAAAGTTAACAGTGATCGAACAATGAAAGCCAAATAAAACTTTCCACAATTTTTTAAAGCAAAACACACACACACACCATAGAGTACAGAGACCAACTTGAGAAGACTCAGCAATGTACTGAAGACTTGCTTACCGTTACTGCCCAAGGCCTTCATGGTGACCTCCATCTGTGCATATTCAAAATTGAAGTTAATCTCACTGGAGACCTCACTGGAGGAGTCCCCATCCACATCCAGCTGCTCAGAACTGTTGTCATTCTTTGGGGAAACATCTTGCTCCTCATCCTCTCGTTCTGGTTTCTTCTTCTTTTTGGGCAAATTGAGTCTTGGTGGGGAAAAAAATATTTTCAAAATCGAAGTAGGGACTTATTTAATCCAGTCATTAAATACTGGCATTTGCTTGATGCCAAAGAAATATCACAGAAGTACAAGGCAACTGCTGTAACTCAGGAACTCCACATTATGATAATACAACTAAAACCCTTGCATGCAAATAATTATAACAGAAGTATGGCATAGGCCAGGCAGGCATCATAAGGTCAAGGTTAAAGAAAAGCTGAGCACCACTTCAGGACCACAGTAAGAAAGGATAAACAGAAGTAGGACAGCGGGAACAACATGGGAAACCAGGAAGGCTCACAGTTTCTGGAGAAACTGGGAAAAACCGCACAGAGCTACACAAAATTTACATAACGTCAGTTCAGAGAGAAAGCTGGGGAGATCAATTTAGCTTAAACCATAAAGGTTTTGAGTATTAGGCTATACAACTGATACTGGATTAAATTTAGGAAGAGAGAAAAAAAATCAAAAGAAATTTTCTAAGTTTTTTGAATTCATCCACCCTATTCTCAAGAGTTGAAACACTATCTGGCCTACAAAGTCTTCTGCCTGTAAGTAAGTCATTTTGACATAGGAAACACACTGACCACCGTCAGCAAAACAAACAAGACTTAACTCCTAGACAAAATCCAGCCTGCCTCAGCTTTGCCAACACAACAAATTCCCACATTTTATTCAGGCAACAGTGTGTGGAGTTTCACAGAATATTCTTTCACAGCCTCCCTTGCAGCTAAGAGGCAAATTCTAGCAAAGGGGGGGTAAGTAAGCTCAACACTGCTGAGCACTCCAGAAACACGTCTACTTTTACTTTTTGAATGGGCTGCAGGGAATGTCAGCATTCTCTCTTTCTTGTCATGTGTCTGAATGCTGTATTGACTTTTGAGTGGTGTGGCCACCTTCATACTACAGGCACATGCCCAGACACCAACAGGCCTTCAGCCATAGCATTTTTGAGAGTCTTAGTCAAAGCTAATCACCACCTTCCTTTGGGTTTCCTGTTCTGTTGGAAAACAAAAATAATCTGCTTAACTCATGATGGTCAAGTCTGACATAGTTTGCAGCTTAAAATATTCCTAAAATAAATAACCATTTTATGTTATAGATAATGAGACTAAAAGTACAACCATCTTTCAGTAAAAAGAAAAAAAAAACAATAAACTAGAGAGACTTGTACAAAAAGAATTTATGAATTCTATGACCAGATGACTCATCTTTCACTGGAAAATAAAAAGGAAAAAACATGTAAGTAACCTTAATATTTCGGAGCACACAGCTCCTATGCTAAGATTTAGACAACAGCTATGTAGTGAGCAAACATAAAACATATATACAACATGCATATATTCATTCAACATATTGTCTTATAAGGTTTATAAATACGTATTCTTATATTTCAATAATGGTCCTTTCTCAGGGTCTTCCTACCTGAAGAAATGGTTGTTTCCCCACAATATCCTGTCCCCATGATGTAGCTGGATCGGACTGGAGACTGAAGAGCCATTTACACATGTTCTGTGTGGAAGAGAAGGTCAAGTGTGAGCAACAAGTATCATGCCTTCTGCTGCCATGTTCCAACATTATACAGAGGTATAGTCATCACAGAAAAACTAAACCTGCCCTTAGAAAATTTTAATATTTGCATCTATTTCTTTGCTGGCTGATCCAAAATGCTCAGCATAGTAAATTTAACAGTTTATCTTCCCCTTTTCAAGCTTCTACATGTTATATAACTTATATCCAACATGTTTATACTGCTTTGCATTAGAGATCAATATCCACTAATCTTCAAAGTTCTAAACTTGCTATGCTGTACGAGGGGTTCTCCAAAGAGTTTCTGGAAAACGTTGGGATTTCAAACAAAAAATTGTTACAAAATAAACTCATCTTCTAATCCCAATTACATTTTTTAAGTAATTCATACATAAAGGAATAAATATGGGACCACTACAGCCAATAACAAAAACCTGGTAACACTATACATGCAACTGAACCATGCATGTCCCATTTATATAGAGTCCCAAACAAATGGACTCTAGAAATATCTAGATACCAGTATTGAGAAACAAAACCCAGATTCATTTCTTCCGTAACATCCTAAAACACAGAAAGAAGGTCACATTCTACCAACAGAAAGAGGATGTGCCAGTTCCACAGGGCTGCTTGCCTGGACTCAAGATTTTTAAGACCAGAAATAGTAGGTAGAACGCAATTAAGGGAAGAATTTGGAAGGGTAGGAAATAAATGAAAAATTGTGCTTGTAACTATAAAACTGTTACTATCTATCTCCTCGTGCTTTCCCTGTGCTGAACTACTCCTTCACTAAGATACAGGATACCAGGACCAACTGCAACAGTGTAGGCCCTACCCAGGAAAGCTGTGTTCAACTTCTCCCTTCCCTTTTCTAGTTGAAGCTCAGCTTCTAGGATTTTCTGTACACTGAACATGATCATCTTGTCCTCCAAATCCTGACTTACTGGAATAAGGCTCCTATCCCTCTTTCATCCACCCAAATATTACTCAGCAATCCAAGTCCAGCTGGGTTTCCATTTCCTCTGTAAAGGATGCTGATCCCCTCAGCATTCAGTATCTTATTTTAAATTCAATAAAGCTATAATAAATCACTTAGGTGGCTTTAAACAACTCATGAGTTTTATGTATATGCATACAAAGTAACAAAGATTACTTCCTATCTAGATTTGAATTCTGTAACACTAACAATAACTGATCTTTATGCTCCTATAATTCTGTTATTCAAAGTAAAACCAGAAATTACACTCATATAGAATGATGAAAGGGACCTGCTAAAACCCACAAGATTTCAGCGTTTAGGACACAAATTTCTCAAAATTAATGAGAAATTTAATAACAGCAACAACATCAACATGTTTAAAGAGCCATGCTTAGTAAATAGGTAGTATATATTATAGATTATGAATATACGTCACTTACACTGTAATATACATGGGGGCTCCAAGACAAAAACCATAATAACATTAAGGTTATAAGGCTCCTTCTCACTCTGTTGATGCCTATGCAGACTGTTAAGACTAATGCTTTTGCACAAAGTAAAATAATGGTACCAAATATCGCTGGTAGTAACCAGAATATTTACTACCGTATATTCACAATTTTAAAAAATTAAATATTTCACCTGAGAATTTAATTTAAAAATTTAAATCCCTCAGTTAAGCAGTAAATCTCTAATTTTTTAAAGTTTTCACCACAAGCATATGTTAATATTTCAGGCGACAAAATGAGAAGTACACATAAACATTTAACGCATACTGACGTATGAGGAATATCTAATCTACAGAAACAGACATTTCAGACTCAAAAATGGACCCAGCAAAACCTTTCACTTTGCCACTCTGAGGAAACCAACTGGCAGTATTGGCTATCAGTGACAATCAGAATTTTTAAAGCAGTGTCAATGTCCTCCAACCAAATACCCGAGGAATATTCCTGCAGTTGAACAAGCTGGGTTTACTACTCCTACCAAGCACCAAGACTCAACCTGAGGAGTCTGGGGCAACTCAATGAAAGAGACGGAGAAAGATGTGGGCTTTGCTACATAACTTTAAAGAGGGTCTAAAAGACAGGTACTCCTATACACTAAACACTCTGAGAAAATGGAAGTACTCCTAGGATTAAATACTTGAAAGCATCTGTGACTGAACCTGACAAAGCAGCAGCAGGGCCTGATACAAGGGCCAGTTCAGCTGCCACCCTCTGTGCTTCCTCGCCTGTACGCTTTACCAAGTATCTGGAGCAAGATTTATGGATGAAATCAGGGATGATTTCATCTGGATGTAAGAATTTGTTTTTTATATCATAGAATTAAAAAGTCAACACATAGAAAACCGAGGTAATTCAGTTAACCATTTTTACCAGTTACAAGACATGTATTCAGTTTTATAATAGACTGTTAATAATCTCATAGAAAAACAATGGCAAAAGAAATTATGAAAATCAGAAATTATATAAAATACTACATCTATTCACTGTCTACTGATCACCTACATGCTAGTCTTATGCAAGGGACAGAGAATCAAACAAGAAAGGACTTGTCCTCAAGGAGCTCACGGCCGAATGGTTTATATGAGTTAACAGCTCAGAACACAACAGGTGCTAACCTAGCAGGAAGCACAAAGACTATGGGGAAGGGCACTCAATGCACACTAAGCAGGGATAAGGATGGCGCTTAACCCAGAAGGTCAAACAGGAGTTAGCAAGCCAAAGGAATGGCAGACACAGAGGAAAAGAACAAGGGATTTTTTTTTAACCAAAAACAAAAGAAACTCTTCCAGTTATGCAGTGAGTAGATCAGGAGGCAGCTTACAGTTTTGGCAGGAATTCTAACCAAAGCTTGTCCCAGGCCTAAACAGGGTCTTGTTGGATAGTACAGAAGGCAGGAATGGTAATGGGAGATGCTAAAAAGCTAAATATAAAGGCACTGGCCACCCACTGAATGTCTTAAATGAACTTAAAAACAATAGCAAATGAGGGCAAAACATCTCCTATTCCTGTTTCTTCCTGTTACAAATTACAGCAACATGAATAAGTGTTTGGCACAGTTACTTGGGACACAGGCATCCCTTACCACAGTGGCTGGTTTGAATCCCAGTTCTATTCTCAATTCCAGTTTCCTGCTACTCCATATCTTGGAAGACAACAGTGATGGCTCGAGTAGTTGAGTTTCCTGCCAGCCACATGAAGAAGCTGGACTGAGTGTCCATTCCCAGCTTCACCTGTCCTAGCCTTGGCTGATGCAGACAATCAAGCGAATGAACAAGTGGACAGAAGATCTCTGTCTCTTTGTCTCTCTGCCTTTCACATACACCAACAAAATGTAAAACTTATTGTGACATTAATACTAATTCAATACATTACCTGGTATTCTTTTGAGGAGTCAGCATAACCTGGCCTTCTGGTGTAATGTCTATAATACAATGTTCAGGAAGAATTCCCATTCCACACAGTTGGATATCTTGGGAATTTGCTGACCCTATCAATGTGTGTTCCTGAGAAAGAATCAAATTCACTCATCAATACTGCATTATTACATGTACCCGAACTGAAGTCATCTACTGAGTCCTCTTACATCAATCTATTAGCTAAAAAATGTAATAGCACATAAAATGGTAGGAAGAACCTCTAACTTTCTCTGAAATTCAAATTGATTACATTCTCTTATAAGAAATAATGCATAAAGTTGAATTGTATTTTTTCACTTAAAACTAGGAGCTAGCATTGTGGTACAGTGAATTTAGCCATCATTTGTGGAGTCAATATCCAATATTGGGGCACTGATTTAAGTCCTGGGTGCTCCACTTATTATTCAACTCCCTGCCAATAAGCACTGGGATAATGGCTCAATTATATGGGCCCTTGCCATGCCTTGAAAGATCGAGACAGAGATCGAGGCTCCTGATTTCAGCCTGGTCTGTCCCCTGCCATTGCAGCAGATTAGAAAGTGAACCAGCAGATCATAGAGATTAATATTGTTTTGCTTTCTCTCTCCTCCTTTTCCCTTCCCTCCGTCATTCTTTCAATTAAATAACTTTTTTAGAAATTACAATTTTACATTTGTATCTATACTATAACTCATTTTTCTACCACAATCTTGATTACAAATATTATATACCACTCCAAAGCATGAGCCATCTATCAATGATTTATCAAACATACTGATTTTTTCAGCTAGTTATTTAAGTTGTACATCACTTACCTGTTCTAAATCAAAATTTGTCAACTACAAAGGTAAAAACTACTCAAATATAAGTGTTAGCAAAACTAATTATTTCATATCATGGTCTCCCCTAATCTCACAAATGATTTAATAAATACGTTCTTACATTAAGATTACCAACTAAACTCTTTAAGCCCCTGTTTTTGGAAGCTAGCACACTTATCCTTAATGCAGAAAACTGATGTTATAACTGATGTTACATCCATTAACCATTATACCCCCCTTACACTTCAATCTTCAACTGCCCAAATGTGATTGAATGTTGACAGGTCCTGAGATGAGTTCTTAGGAACCTTTGCCTTTCTATCCAGCCAGATCAGGTGCAATTCTGGCAAGTAGGGAATTTTTTCAGGGACTTACTCATAACTAATGCAAATCCATCTTCACAGTGCAAAAACCACACAGAAAACATGTAAATCATTAAGTATAGCTGCAGTTCAATACAATTTTACATATGAACACTAGATTTTGGATTTCATGCAACTTTCGCATGTCTAAGACATCATCCTTAAATCATTTAACAAAGGAAAAACAATTCTAAGCTTCTGGGCCACATGCAAATAGGAAGGCATCTGGGGTCAGGAAATAGTCTGCCACCCCATTCACATGAATTCAGCCACTCTGGTGGCTTAAAATATTAAACTAAACCTATGTCACCAACCAAAAGCTACAGACTCTAGTTCTGGTTTTCCACCTCCATTACTATTCTCCCAGTCCCAGGCACCATTATTCTTTCCTATTTGATACAGAATGGATGTTTAAAGACATTTCTAAGGGAATCATTGCCAAAATACAACTCTTAACTCCATCTTTTCTGATCCAATAAATAATCTATTCCATTCCCCAACAACAATGGCTTCCCCACCACCTAACTAGTAGACTACAAAGCTTAGACATTACCTGGTATCTTTTCTCCTTCCTTAATCAGCCTACTCCTAACCTCATGTCAGTCAAGGAATCCTTACAGATTCTACCTCCAAAAACAGTCTAAAAATCAGCTCGTTTCCCACCTCTACTCCCACAGCCTCCTGGAGCTCTTCCCTGGGTGAACACAGCAGCCTCCTAACTACGTCTTCACAGAGGTCTTTCTCTGGCCTTTAAGTACAGTGAACTCATCTTGAATACCACTGGTCATTCTCCCATCTGAAATGTTATTTTGTACCACTTCTACTTCAGCTTCCAATGTCACATTCTCAGAGGTCTTTCCTGAACCCACAGTAGAAAACAGTACCCAATCACTGTTGCATTAGTCAAATTAACTCCTCCCATGACACCGTGGCTAACTACCCACTTCCAAAGCTAGCACAGAAACTCTGTGAATGTGCAGGACAACCCGTGTCACTCCCCACTGTTTTCCAAGCACTTACACAGGTCTGGAATGTAGGCATGAAACAAAAATTAGAAGACAAATGGGAGCTGTTACAATGGCTCATTTAGCTAATCCTCTGCCTGCAAGCGCCAGCATTCCATAAGGGCATCAGTTCATGTCCTGGATGTCCACTTTCCATCAAGCTTCCTGCTTGTTGTCTGAAAAAGCAGTGAGGGATGGTCCAAAGTCTTGGGACCCTGCACCTGCACAGAAGACCCAGAGAGGCCCATGGCTTCACATCAGCTCAGTTCCAGCCTTGCAGCAATTTGGGGAGTGTACCAGTGGATGAAAGATCTTTCTCTGTCTCTCCTCTCTGTAAAACTGCCTCACCAATAAGAAGAAATATTTTTTAAAAGAAGGGAGACAAATAAGCATTCATTTTCCTCCACTCCCTTGGCATTTCCTCAGGCCCAGTGGGAGACAATTCTCTCCTGTTTTCTGCCATCCTTCTCAATCCATTCTGTCCCCAAAATACACCCACCTCTTAAGGGATATCAAGTTCATGAAATGGCCTCTCCACAATAGTATTCTCATTTCTCCTCTTCATAGGTTTCTTTTCTTGAAAACACTGTGGTAGTGTTTGCAAGGCAGCAAGCAGTTGGCATCTAGCACTGCCTCATGATAACCTGTTAGATGCTCAAGTGTGTATCCAATCCAGGATATTCCAGGCTCATGCCTACTCCTCACTGTGAGCACAGCTTGTTAACCTGGATGACAGGCTTCATTGGGTATAAATGGCAGTAATACTTTTGTGAAGCCAAAGGTACCTAAAGCATCTACTCTGTGCATGCTTCCACTTTCTCTTACCTCTTTCTTCCCTCTCCAACATTTCTACCACCAACAGCAAGGTGGACAGGAGGCCCAAGAGGGAAAAAGAAACTAGAGAAAAAGGGTCCAAGATCACTTAAGGAAGACAAAAAATGTCCCCAAGCACTCCACTTGCCTTGGGTCAGTTTTGTGTAGAATCTCTTTGCTTCCCATGAGGAATTACAGGCCCCAGTCCTACCTATGCCTGGGATTCTTTCTGTCCTTTGCAGGCAGAGGTGGCAAAAGCCTTGCACCTGACCCTAGAATGGAGCCCGAGTGTGGAGCCAACTCCTGCACCCACACTCCCAGTACATACAGCAGCTCAGGTCGACATCTGTGCCCTATGACATAACTTTTTTGGGGTCTGAAATTCTCTCTTCATCTGTATACAAAGTCATCTTTCAACACCTACTGCTACCACCAGTCATTGATTTCTCCCTCTTCTGAACACTAATTATACTCTAGAGTCAAACAGCACGATTTACTGTACACAAAGACTGTCTCCTCCTTTAGATAACAGCTTATATAAGAATCATCTATCTTTCACAATAATGGACATTAAGACACAATATGAGGTGGTTGTCAAGTATTTTTTCATGGAATAAACTGCAAAATTATCAGACAGATGATATTAACTCAAACATGCACAGGTCCAACCCAATTTCTCAAAGGAAAATTTCACTTTTTTCATTCAACACCATATTCAGCAATCATTACGAACCGAACACCGAGCCACTGGAGACATAAGAGACAGACAAGGTCCTCACCAGAAAGATCACTTCATAAATGACTATTTCAATCTTACTTCAGATTACAACCTATCACAATGTGATGGACTACACACTGGAATTTGAAATACCAAGTTCCAAAATGTCAGCCCTGTCTCTTGCTATCAGATGCTTAAGTTAGTCAATTAGCATTATAAGCTCCACTTTTTGCTCTCCAAGTGCTGCAATGAAAATGTCAACAAGGAAAAACAGAAGTATCATAGGCTGGCATAAGAAACTACCTAGAAAGTTCCTAAATGATATGAAAGTATGAAATAATCAAAATTAGATATTAGGGTACTTCAGAAAATTCATGGAAAATGGACAGACTAAGGGCTGGCACCATGGCATACGGGTTAAGCCTCTGCCTATAGTGCTAGCATCCTATATGGATGCCAGTTCATGTCCCAGCTCTTCCAATCCAGCTCCCTGCTTACGGCATGTAAGGCAGTGGAGGATGGTCCAAGTACTTGGGCCACTGCAATCATGTGGGAGACCCAGAAGCTCCTGGCTGCTGCCTTCAGACTGGTCCAGCCCCAGCCATTACTGCCATCTGGGAAGTGAACCAGCAGGTGAGATCTCTTTCTCTCTCTGCCCTTTTATTTCTGTACCTCTTCCTTTCAAATAAAAACAGATAAATCTTGAAAGAAAATGCAAAAGATAGTGTCCATTTCCACAAACTGTTGAATACTCTTGGTAAAGTTAATCAGGCATGTGTCTCAGTCTCTTTACGGAGTAGATGACTATAATGCCTACGGATGCCAGTATAAAATAAACTAGGAAGAGCAAATGGAAAATTCTACTCTAAATTCTAAAAGAACCACAAAACTTGGACTCAGAAAGAATTTCAGAGAAGTCTAAATGCAGTGCCTTCCTCGACAGATGGGCAGCTCAACTCACCCAAAGGTCCGAAGTCATCTGCCCAGCATTTAAACCGACCCGAGCATGTGAGAGCAGTGACATTTTTAAAAGCATGGCCCCCAGATTCCTCCGCCCTGCACCATGGTATCACTTCACTGAAGAGAAAGCTGTTCTGGGACAGAAAGCACACTTGTGAATGTGCTTCGTCATGAACACATTCCTGCCATGGGCGAGCGCGGGCACCCAAGGAACAAGGCTGCCTCAAACCCAAACAGGCCTGACCACAAAGTCGGGAACAGAACCCAAACACCTCCACACCAGAAACACTTTCACTCTTCTCCAGAACGCTGTGAACAGTCTCTTTTGTTCAACTTTTTAGTGAAGGAACAGCTATGAATCAAGGTTTTTCCTGAGGAGTTGGGTGCAAGAGGGAGGATTATGTATTCCAATTTGAACTATATCACACCCCCAAAGAACTCCCAGTTCTTAGAAACTGAAGTCAAATTCTCACAGTGCATCTCTCTCCAAGTATGACTAGCCATGGCTGAGACTGCAGCTCCTCCTGCTACCAACATTGTTTGCAAACAAAATGAAGCCACAGTACATCATTTTTAACAGACAAGCCTAGCATGCATATAAGTACCACATCCAGAGGTGGACAACATCTGGCCCTCAGGGCATATAAGGTCCACAAAACTACATGGTTTGGTCCTGCCAGGGTGACCTCAGGTGGTACTCAAAATTCAATTCATCTGTAGTAGACTGATTTTTTCCGCTGATAATTTTATATGGCAAATGACATTATAAATATCCAATGACCCTTGGCAGAAAAGTCTCCACAGCCTCACACTAGAATGTTGGGCCCGGCACGATAGCATGGTAGTTAAAAATCCTCGCCTTGCACGGCCAGGATCCTATATGGGCCCCACTTCCCTTCCAGCTCCCTGCTTGTGACCTAGGAAAGCAGTAGAGGATGGCCCAAAGCCTTGGGACCCTGCACCCGCACAGGAAACCTGGAAGAGCTCCTGGCTTGTGCCTTAGGACTGGCTCAGCTCCAGCCATTGCGGCCGCTTGGGGAGTGAACCATCGGACGGAAGATCTTCCTCTCTGTCTCTCCTCCTCTTTGTATATCCGCCTTTCCATTAAAAATAAACAAATCTATAAAAAAAAAAAAGTAGAATGTTGAATATTTTGTATATGTATGTGTTCTTGTGTATAAAGTGCCCGTATTTATCCAATACTACAGGAACCTCACAAGGTGGTCAGAAAGTACTTCCATTCATTTGCAAAGTAAGAATCTGCAGCCAAGAGAAGACTGGACTAGAAATGGGGGATACCTCCCTCCCACTCAACAACAACCGAAATGTGTATACATTACAGAATGTATCAGACTCAGTGTAACTCATAAGGGAACAGAGCCTAGACTGATCGTGGTGCTGTGGTAGCCTAGTGGCTAAGGTCCTTACCTTATATGCGCCACGATCCCATATGGGCACCAGTTCATATTCTGGCTGCTCCACTTCCCATCCAGCTCCCTGACTGTGGCCTGGAAAAGCAGTAGAAGATGGTCCAAAGCCTTGGGACCCTGTACCCACATGGGAGACCAGGAAGAAGGACCTGGCTTCAGATCAGCTCAGCTGCAGCTGATGTGCCCACTTGGGGAGTGAATCAGTAGTTGGAAGATCTGTCTCTGCTTTTCTCTGTAAATCTGACTTTCCAGTAAAAATAAATACATCTTTTAAAAAATGTGCAAGATTTCTAACAAAGCAGTCTCATCAAAATTACGCAAATGAGAAAAAAACTGAAAAACTACAGAATGAGTTAGACTTCTTTAGTATTTTTCAGAAATTAAATCCTGCCATTTCCCTAATCTTCTCTATTATTAGTTTGTAAGAGATGAAACTCATTAGAGCTTTATCTCTCTGGTCACATTAGGGGAAAGAAACTGCACCTTTTTTTTAAAGATATATTTATTTTTTATTGGAAAGGTAGATATACAGAGGAGGAGAAATAGAGAGGAAGATCTTCTGTCCGATGGTTCACTCCCCAAGCAGCCGCAATGGGCTGGAGCTGAGCCAATCCAAAGCCAGAAGCCAGAAGCCAGGAGCTCTTCCGGGTCTCCCACATGGATGCAGGGTCCCAAGGCTTGGGGCCATCCTCGACTGCTTTCCCAGGCCACGAGCAGGGGGCTGGATGGGAAGTGGAGCTGCCAGGACCAGAACTGGCACCCATACGGGATCCTGGCACATTCAAGGCAAGGACTTTAACCACTATGCTATCACATCGGGCCCAAGAAACTGCATCTTAATGCATCTCCATTCCCTGCTGGAGCTGCACCAAGGTTACTTGGGCTCTGGTTTGACCATGGCAGTGCTGGCGTGCTCCTCCTTGGTGCTGGTATGTTTCAGGTTCATGCTCATTCTAACACTGTTACCCATCTTTCCATTATGTTTCAAGATTTGAAGATTTGAACGTGCACAAATATCTCTCTCCTGTTCCACACTCTGACCCTCTCAGTCTGTAAGTGGCTTACCCTCCCCTTTATTCCTAAGAGTTACTGAAAACAAATATCATACCAATTAGTCGTAACAACTCTAATTTTATGATTTCCTTTTGAATTAAATAGCCCACGGAAAGATGGGCTTCACATAAACCACAAAAGCTTTCATTTACTAACACAACCATTTGGTCCTAAAAGTCATCCTCTATGCTGCCAAGGTACTTCCTTATTTTCCTGGCACCAATCACATTAAATGATAGATGGGCTATTTCATTTGTTATAGATTATTGTCAGAATATTATTTTCATATTGAGTTGAACATCAAAGACTAAAACAGAAAACTGACTGGAGGAACCAAAGGTTGTCCTACACATCAGGTATCTAAATAAAAACAATCTGCAGTCTCTCTTCTTTTTCACTTCTCATGGTCCCCCAAGTTTAAAACAGCACCAACAGATATTACTCTATTTTGTAGCAGCAAAGTATATACAAAGCACAGGACCACACCTTTAGATAGTAGACCAGAAGTTCGTTCAGAGCAGGGTCGGCATTTAGGTTAACAAGGAAACATTTGTCATCCCCAACTTTGATTCCTGAAGACTGCAGGGATATGCCAAGACTCTCCAGCTGTTTCTGTCGTTCCTGCATGTGTCAAAGAAATAAAAATTCCACAGCAACTGAGGCAGCAGGATATAACAGATCTCATAACAGCACATAGCAACTCAGTACATTTATAATTCATATAACACTATCTTCTGATGTGACATTATATAGTATTGCATTTTTCTCATCTTTCCAAACTACATAAAATCCATTTATTATTGTTTAATTTTAGAAATACGGTTCATTAGGAATAGCAATTAAGTATACAACTAAGTTCTCAGGTTCCCTTCTTAAAACATTTCTAACATCCTGAGCTCATCTGGCAATGAATCTATTTCCTTGTATTAAATCCACACCCATGAGCACGTACCTGTGTTTTACTCAGCCCTAACCCTCCCCAAGAGCCAGGCTCTGGCCCAGGCCAGAACAAAGGCCCAAATCCCTCAGCACAGATCTCATGGTCCTTTGTCCCAGCCCATTGGCTCTCCATTCTCATCTTTTCTGTCACTCCGATTTAAAAAATTAAATCCTTAAAAAAAAAAAAAAAAAAAAAAAAAAAGCTTTTTCATAAAAAGATACACAATTTCCATGTATCAGTTAAAGAATTAAAATCAACAGATAAAAGCCTGCACAGGGCCCGGCGCGGTGGCGCAAGTGGTTAAAGGTCCTCGCCTTGCACGCCCGGGATCCCATATGGGCGCCGGTTCTAATCCCGGCAGCCCTGCTTCCCTTCCAGCTCCCTGCCTGTGGCCTGGGAAAGCAGTCGAGGACGGCCCAAAGCTTTGGGACCCTGCACCCATGTGGGAGACCCGGAAGAGGCTCCTGGCTTCGGATCGGCATAGTATCAGCCCGTTGTGCTCACTTGGGGAGTGAATCATCGGACGGAAGATCTTCCTCTCTGTCTCTCCTCTCTGAATATCCGCCTTTCCAATGAAAAAATAATAAAAAAAAATAAATCTTTAAAAAAAAAAAAAGCCTGCACATACACTCAAGCTCTATGTGTGCCTGTCTAGTTCTAAATCACATGATACAGGAACGTATACAAGAATGTACAAGGACACACACTGATTTCACAACTGGACACCTCAGGATTAAGGCAGAATTATGGCAGGATAAGATCTTTGACTATGGATAAACACCAAGTACTGAGAAATTACAGTCACCCAGGACCTTTGATTACGGGGTAAAAAACTAAGTCCTCAGTGAAGGCCACACAGTCATGCTGCAACATAATTAAAATAAAGCATCAGAATTTCACTATTCCTTTCCATTCTTTTAAGTCTCATCTTTTTATTCATGTATTTGAAGAGAGTGCAGGAGACACACAGAAGACAGGTCCCCAGTCTGGTGGCTCACTTGACAGACGCCCCTAACTCAGTGCTTCAAATCAACCCTGCTCTCCTGTGCTGGGGTAGCAGAACCTCAGGCTCTGCACAGGCAGGCAGCTGGGCCGGGGAGCCAGAGGTGGAGCTAAAGCCAGGCACTTAGTAAACCATGTGAGCCTCTTGCCTAGCGCTTCAGTCTTAAGGCCAAACGCCTGCCCAGAATTCTCTTACGTCTATGCACATCATCTTCATTTCTTTGATCAATCAACAGATCCCACCCAGAAGAATGCTACCACAAAATCAGAGAGGGATATTTTGGCCCCTGGTCTCTGAATCAAATGCCTGTTCTAACAAAAAGAAACTACAGATTTCTTCTTGGACAGTTCAACATTAATATCAGGCTGCGTTCTCAGGACTTAGTGCCAGGAGGAGATTGCCCTTGATAACGAACCATGTACATAAAATAAGGAAAAGAGTTCCACTATATATTTTTCAAAATTTGCTCAGTAAACTACTGTTTTACTCTACTTTCCTGTACATTTTTCTATTGCTTCAGATTATACAGTGGCAAAAACACAAAACCAGGTACAGTGATGGAAAATTGTCCATTAAGATATTTCCCATCAAAATTTTAAAGTTTTTAATCCTCTCAAAATTTACAAATGTGAAAAAAATTACAAATGTGCACAACATTTAGGAAACGGCTCACAAAAGGTACTTTATAATACAATTATGTACAGATAGCATGAAATATTGCTTCTGATATCAGGGGCTGGGCTAACTTTATAACATGTGAGGTAGAAAGTATTTCAGCCTTTTGTGGACCATATGGTCTGTGTCAGGACCATTCAGCTCTATTGGCTGAGCCACAGAGAACACAACAAACAACTGAGCTTAGCAGTGTTCCAAAAGAACTTCACGAGCATGAGGGCCAGACCAGTTGTCTGCCAACCCCTAATAATCTCAAGGTTTGATTTCAGTGAAGTGAGCACTTTTTTTTTTAGGATTTATTTTACTTCATTTGCAAGGCAAAGTTACAGTGACAGCAAGATAAAAGCCAATCCTGACTGGGAAGAGGCAGACTACTAACAGACCAAACTTCCTCAACAGAAGAGGGGAAAAGGCCCAGGGGCACTAACACCAGCCACATGGTTTGGCAAAACTGGTGTTGCAGAAGGTGTCGGATAAGGCAAGGCCATGTACTTGAAAGAGACACCTGGGAGCAAGGAGCATAGCAGCCAAAAGGGCTCAGACAGTACAGTTCATAGTTCCACACCAGACATTACTTTTGAAAAACAGAAAGTGAGAAAGAGACTGTACACTCGTGTTTGCTTCTGCACAGCCAGGGGAATGTTTTAAGATAAGCTCACGCAGAGATGTAAGTAAGAGATTAGTCAAATGTTGATCTTTTTAATTTACTTTTTTTTTAATTGGAAAGTCAGATATACAGAGAGGAGGAAGGACAGAGAGGAAGACCTTGTATTGGATGATTCACTCCTCAAGTGGCTGCAACAGCAAGAGCTGAGAGCTAAGCTGGAGCCAGGAGCCTCCTTCAGGTCTCCTGGGCAGTGACAGTCCCTATCTTGTGAGACTGAGAAAATCGCAGAGACAGCCCAGGTAAGAGGGCTGGCATAGGCCCAATACCCAAGGGTAGCCAATAAATGCTGACTCCGTGAGTTTCTACATACAGGTGGGTAACTTCTACTGAGAGCCAATGAGTAGAAATGGAGGAAGATTTCAAGTAAATAGCTAGCAGTAGGTTGTCAAAACAGAGGTTGGACAATCATGTAGCAGGAAAGCCATGAAGTTAGGTTTTTATTAAGAAGTTTTAACCTTTTTTTTAGCATTTTTCCCCAATGCTAAAATTGACTAGTTCTTCCTAGACCAATGCCAACATTTCCACCTTAAGATTTCACAACTCTTTATTAAGTTTTCTTACAAAAGGATAAACACCTCAGGCTTGGGCATTCTATATTACTTTTACTGAGTTCCCACATGGATTGCTTCTTGGCCTTTTGGCTAAGATCAAGTGTAGTATCTGAGTTCTCACATGGAAGCAAGAAGCATATAATCTAGTATCTATTACTACTGATGCTGTAATCCCAGCAAGTTCCTTAGGTCTATAAATCATTTAATGAGGGGATCAGAGTCTCAGACTACAAAGCAATTATTTCATTTAAAAACAAATACTTTTGAAATTGGCAACACTAACAAGTTAATTATTTCTTACCTAATAATCTCTTGTAATTATACCACTTTATCCTTAAAATTAGTTTGGTAAATTACAGACAGTCTTAGATCTAGATTCCTTTTACGGCTTGTCACACTTGTCAGAAACACCAGCTGAGTCCCAGTGTGCAAACCACCACAGAATCAGGAAACACAAACCTGCGCAATCTCCTCAGTCTTCCTTAATTTCTCCTCCCAGGTCACGGTCATTTCCTGGATTAGCTTCTCAGATTCTTCCAGCCGGTCTTTGAGTTCCGGAGATTTCATTGCCTACAAGCAAAATGTTAACTTCATAAACCACGTGGACAAAGCCCTGCAAACAGTTCTCCAACTCAGCGAGGACCTGAGTGACCATCTGCCTCCTCTCAGCTGCAGAGCTTACTGAAGTCGCTATCTACTCAAAATAAGGGCCAACCCTGAGGCCAGGCACCCAGCTGCTGGGAAGAGCACCATTGCACCTAACTATCCAAGGTACATTCAGAAGCAAGGATATTTCTTCCTTTTCTTCCAACCTACTGTGAAGATTTCATTCCATTTTTTTTTTCACTTCTAATAGATAAGGTATCCAGCCTCATACACATGAGTCTTCCTGGATGACTTGGGAATGGATTCAAGGATATACAGACCAATGAATATGTACATGTTGCAAACTGCATGGTGCTATTAATACTAAGGAGATAGGAGCAAGTTTCCTAAGACCCCTGAACCATACAATTCTGAAAATGGGATAAACTTCATCAGGCAATGGCATGCTTAAGATAACTTTCCTAACTGTATTTTACTGATTTAATCCCCCCAAAAATGGTTATTTGGAAGAAGAGGGCAGTCCCAGCAAAGTCCCTCAAGTGTAAGAAAACTGTGGAATAGACGTGCTCATAACAGCTCAATCTACATTTCAAGAGGAGTTTCAATGTAGGTTGGAATCTTGCAGGTTCTCAAATTTAGTAATGGACCAAAGATACCATCCTTTGCAGAATACACAGAGGACTGACAAAACAGAGGCCAATAAATAGATGGGTACTTGAGCTAGGGTTTATTTTTTTGTTGTTGTTTATTCGTTTTTGGTACAAATACGATTAACCCACAACAAGGACAGGCTGGACTTCTAACATGTGGAAGATCACCTCAAAATTTCTGTTCTAAACCCTATCAGTTATTCATGAGAAAATCTTTAAGAAATCTACTGAATTCTTCTTCCAATCATGTCCACTCATGTTTTGGCATGAAAACTGAATGATATACACTTTGTTCCTACTCTCTCTCCTCTTCTTCATTTATTATACCTCTTCTTGCTTGTCTGCTCCCTGGCTACAAATGAAGAAAAGCATTTCTCAATTCTCTTTGTATTCTTATTTGAACCTTTTAACACCTACAAAAACTCTGAATTTCAAATTTGACAATCTTCTGTTTCTTCCCACTTTAGATGTCTTGTGCTGTGGGAAACGTACACCTTGTAAGCCAAGTTGCTCCCCCATCCAACCCCCGCACCTGGAGCCCAGGGAAGATGATCTGAGCTCTAAGGTGGCAAGGTTTTCGCAGATGCACAGGACCCTGCTTGGCTGTGCCTCTTACCTCCGCCTTCGTGAGCTGCTCTCGGAGTTTCTCCACTTCTTCCCGGAGATCCCGGATAATTCGTGCGTTGGGATCCTCATTCACCACAGCATGGTTCACGATGTGCTTGGCACGATCTGCGTACCGCAGGGTGGAGAGGGTTTCATCATAGTTATCAGCTGCCGGACTCACAGTCGCCACCATTGCTGTCTTGCTATTACCACCAAGACTGTCCTGCAGGAGGAGAAAAAACAATGAAGTTGTATTTTAAAGCAAGACATCATATGAGAAACCTGAAGTCAGAAATGGTGAGATCAATTCCCAACATCAAACACATACTTAACGACAACAACAACAAAAGGGGTCTAAAATGCAAGTTGAAATAAGGACTCAAATCCTATGATGTTTGCTCTCTAACCAGGCTCGTTCCTCAAAAACAGAAGAGCTTTGTTTTTTTAAAGTAAAGACAGGGAAGGAAAATACATCTATTTCAGTTTAACAAAAATTAATTCTAAGTCAATTTGTCCTTTTTTACAGCCAACATAAAACCTTCCGTGAACAAAGTAGTCAAAACAAAATAAAAAAAGATGCCTTAAACGTCTCCAAAATCTTCCTTAGAGGGACTGAACAACCGTGATGTGAGCTGACATGTGACAATGGAATCATTACCTACAACCTCCTCCATGTGCTGGGACATACCTGGGACTCTCTGGCAAGGCTAAATAGTGACTACAAGCTATCAAGTACCAACTAGAATTTCCAAAACAAAAAATTATAGCTTGCACAACAGACTCCATAGGTCAAACAAGACTATTCCACTGAAACCAAAAGGCACTGTGAAACAGCCTTCAGAACCATCTTCTAACAAAGAACTCCTTTCACTTGAGAACATTAAAACCACAAGATGTGAGTCAGAATCACAAAACTAGATCTGGGACATCAGGTCTACACCACTGTGACTGACCATACTAACAAGGCTGACTGGAACCCACTTGTGGCCGACGGCTCCATAGCTGGTACTCATCCCCAGTCTGGAAAGCGGACATGACTTTCTGAGCAGCATCTGATGAACAGCAGAGGCAATGGTGTGTCACGCGTGAGATCAGCAGAACAAGGCAGTCCTGCCTTGGGCACTTTCTCCTGCACTGCGGGGAACCAGCTGCCATGTGCACAGATAGTCCCAGGAACAGAGCCCAGGGAGGGAGTGTGGAAGCAGACCTATAAGGTATACCAGCAACCATGGAAATGAGCAGAACTCCCCATCCCACCATGTAGCTGAGATGACACATGTAGCTGAGAAAGACCTCAGCCAAAGCCACTTACTTAAGGCCAATTGCTGCTTCCAACTATTAAGTTTGGAGGGTAATTTTTTCTACAAAGCAACAGATAAACTACATACTATTAAACCACGTGAAATAGAATTAACCAGAAGAGATTCAGTATCACCTTGAATAATCTCTAGACTAGACAGAATATTCCAAAAGGCTTTCTTTAGCTCATAAGAAAACTATTGTGGACAGCAATGAACTACAGAAAATTATTACTGCTGCAGAAAAAAATTTTCCGATTTCAATATATTCAAAATTTATAGCACTCTACGATTTATGCAATCTTTGCACATATACTTAGTTCTCAGCCATCTGTGAAGCTGATTACTAGCACCCCTATTTCACTGATGAGAAAACAGATTTATTCTGACAGAGGAGGTTAAACATCTTGCCTAAAAATCCAGAACTTAAAAACTGTGAAAAATATTTTACGCAAGCAGGATTTGGCCCTCAAATCCAAAAGATTTCCCAACATGTACTTGGTAGCACACAGGAGCAAAATGCTTGAAGATTAGGCAGACTTGACCCCTTGCCAAATTATTTCATCTCAGTATCAGGAACGAAGTAATTCCTGAAGTACTGGCAACAAATCAACAAAATCAGACAAGATGTCTGCTTTCTTATGCAATACTGAATGTTTGTTTTGCCATAACAGTTACATGGTTGGGCAAAATGTACTTTAATGCACCAAAAGTCAGGAAATACAACTAACTTGGGATTTAAAATCAGTGACTGCTTGCTTCACTCTTAACTTAAACTCATCCCAAACTGGTGGTGCCCCAGTTCTGGTAACTTCCAAAAAATATCACACGGACCCTTTTAAGCATGTTAATGGGATTCAAATGTAATACAGAGATGACAGCAATTCAGTCCCACACTGCAACTCAGCTTGCTGGCAGCATCATGCTGCCCTTTCAGAACTACTGTTAGCCCACATGTCAGCAAACACTACTGGGCAAAGAGGATTTGCAACAATAGTCACCCAAGGAGAAGAGCACATAGTGGTTGTGCCTCAGTTTATGCAGAGAAAAAGAAACCTGGCAAACAACAAATGCTTGACATTCCTAAAGGCCTTATCTGGGAGCAACAATACGCTTATATGAAAGTGGCCTCCTGCCATTAGTGAAAAGAAAATAGCAACAAAAGAACTGGCACTCACTCAAGGAGAAAGTATAAAAAGATTCTTGTTGACTCTTTAATCGGGCAAATTAGATGAGCTTTGTTTCAAATGCAGCAACTGTAATATTAAGTGAACATAGGAAAAAAAATTGTTTTCATTTTCTTCAACTAGGTTCTTGATTTTCATTCTTCAGTTATACGTTAGTCATTTAATAGCATGTTATTTCACTCCTTGGTGTTGTTAATTTCTTTTTTCTCCCGAATGTTGATTTTGTTTTGTGGCTCTTCATTGAAGGGGATGTATAGTAGCTGTGTAATGGAGACTGTCATATCTAGTAACATGTCATTTTACTTCATGGCATTGTAAATTTCTGTTTTTCTTTCTATTGTTGATTTTGTATCATGACTTTTCATTTAAGGAAAAGTACAGTAGCTGTGAAATGGAGACTAACATCCAGATGTAAGGATGCAGTGTAGTATGCATTTCTGCTTCCAAAGATGGACTTACAATGAAACTGTTTACTATATCTTGACGATAGGATTCTGGACTCTCTGCCATTGTCCATACCTTCAATGATGGACATATAAGTGAGTATAAAGAACTATATGTTAGTAATGATATAGAGGAACTGGGGGGGGGGGGGGGGAGATTGGGGAGGTGATAAGGGAATATGGAACTGTATCATAAAATGATAATAATAAAATGTAAAAAGAAAAAAAAGAAACTTGTTTTCAGAAATCAGAATTTTCTTTAAAGTTGAAAGAACTCTTTCAAGTCATCCAATCAAATTATTTCATTTTACAGACAAGAACCTGACAGCCAGGAATGCTGGCAGACTGGCTGAGAGCACAGCTGGAATGACCCATTTACTCAGCTCATCATCGAGCTTACCAGGGGACACACGAGTGAAAACACACCTTAAGAACTAAAGTGGGGATAAATATAGTGCGGTGTGGGAAAACAAAGGACATTCTTTAAGGCTGGGATGGGGTGGGTGGGTGCTTCCAGAGAGTGATGTCTGAGACTCAAAATGTATAAGTACTTCTCAGGTAAAAGGAAGCAGGGAAAAGGCAGGAGGGGTGGGAGAAAATGCCCCAAAGGGAATAAGAATAGTTCGGAAGTGAGACAGCACTCATCACTTAGCTGCAATGCATAACTCCTCACTCTTACCAGGTTAACAGTGTTATTGTAGCAAGCAGTTAGTACTGTTGTCCTAACTGTAGAAGACAGACTGGGATGAGAAGCCTGAGACCAACTCTGGCTGCCAGATGACAGGTGGGGGCAGCTGTCATGTGGGAAGCAGCAGTAAGAATGAAAAAGGACAGTGCAGTTCAAAGACAATCTAAGCACTCTTTCATTCCAGGAAGTTGCATGGCATTCAGCAGCCCTCTTACAAAGGCTGCAAGCATCATAGACAGCCATGTGGTCACAGCAGACAGCACACCTGCATCCTCCATGGAAGTCCCTGCCTCTGGCTGTTGACCCTAGCTTCCTGTGATGCAGACCTTGGGAAGGAGCACAGGCGATGGCTCAAGTCACTGGCTTCTTGCCATCCACATGGGAGACTGGGATTGAACTTTCAGCTTGATGCTGAACTAGCCAAAGCTTTCGTGTAAGCTCTGGAATACATTTTCCAAAAAGCATCTCTATTTACGCTCTTGCTGCTAACATCAAACATGACACAAGGAGCATCAGAGAAGGCTTTAAGGAAAAGCCACAAACTTGGGCAAACATTTAATTTTTTTTAAAGATTTATTTTTATTATTTTTTTATTGGAAAGGCAGATGTACAGAGAGGAGAGACAGAGAGGAAGATCTTCCGTCCAATGATTCACTCCCCAAGTGAGCGCAACGGGCCGATACTATGCCAATCTGAAGCCAGGAGCCTCTTCCGGGTCTCCCACGCGGGTGCAGGTTCCCAAGGCTTTGGGCCATCCTCAACTGCTTTCCCAGGCCACAGGCAGGGAGCTGGAAGGGAAGCGGGGCTGCCGGGATTAGAACCGGCGCCCATATGGGATCCCGGGCGTGCAAGGCGAGGACCTTTAACCACTTGCGCCACCGCGCTGGGCCCAACATTTAATTTTTTAAATGAAAAGATGAGGAAGTTGAAAGCATAAGTAATGTAAACAAAAGATGAAGTAAGCTTCTTTAAACAAAAAAGTTTCGGCAACTGAAACAGAGGCTCAACAAGCTAGCCCTCCACCCTACCAGCATGCTACCAGCAGCCCATATGGGCACTTGATTGTGTCCCGGTTGCTCCACTTCCAATCCGGCTCTTTGCATATGGCCTGAGAAAGCAATGGAGGACAGCCCAAGTCCTTAGAACCCTGCACCCACGTGGGGAGCCAGGAAGATGCTATGGGCTCCCAACTTTGGATTAGCTCAGCTCTGTCTGTTGCGGTCATTTGTAAAATGAACCAGCAGATAGAAAGCCTGTCTCTCCCTCTATAAGATCTGCCTTTCAAATAGAAATAAGTAAATCTTTTTAAAAAATAAATAAATCTTTTAAAAAATAAAAGTTTTGAGTTTACAACTATTCATCCAGCTCAAATATTTTATTTTTTTATTGTTACCACTATTTTCCATGATATGCTTTTGTAGGTATTTCTCTCTTTTCCCTCCCTACCCATTCTGCTCCCCACCATTTTCCCCCATATTACTACAATAACATAGTCCCTCAGCTACAGTCACAATTCCAACATTTTGCTATATAAGTGAATCATGACATTGTAGGTGTAGGCAATAGTAAAAAAAATCTAGTATCAAATTGTCAAGATATATTTAGCCATTTAATTGGGCATTAGAGAAACCCTTTTATTTGAGAGATGCATACTGCCCTGCTTCTTCATTTCCTGGTACTGTAACTTCCATAATATAGTTCATGTATGACAATGCGCGCGCGCGCACACACACACACACACACACACACACACACACACTTGTTCACCTGTACATCTATTCTGATTTTGCATGAAGGCTGCTTTATATCAGAGAACATACCTTATTTGAGCATTTTTTCAGATGTCTATTAGCCATTTGAATTTGCTCTTGGAAAACGCCTGTTCATTTCCTTCGCCCAGTTTTTCACATGGTTGTCTGTTTTGCTGTCATTGAGTTTCTGAAGCTCTTTTTAAATCCTGGATATTAGTGCCCTATCTATTGTACAGTATGCAAAGATTTTCTCCCTTTCTCTTGGTTGCCTCTTAGCTCTGTTGCTCATATCCTTCGCTGTACAGAAGCTCTTAGTTTGATGTAGTCCCATTTGTTTATTTTGGCTTTGATCACCTGTGCTTTTAGTAACTTTTTTAAAAGAAGTCTTTACCTAAACCTCTATCTTCTAAAATGCTTCCTACGTATTCCTGTAACCATTTGATGGTTTCTGGGTGCAGATTTAGGTCCTTGATCTACTTAGAGTTGATTCTTATATAACGTGTTTCCCACTTCTCTACATGTAGATATCCAACTGTCCCAACAACAACAAATATCCTATGTTTTCTTGTTATTTTCTCTCAAGGATTGGAAAAGTGAACCTGCTGAAAGAAAGTGATCTTCCACAAGCAGAGAATGGGCCAGGAAAGAACAGCCGAGCAGTGAGGGAAGGCCTGGCTTCCAGTCCTGATCCAGTCTTGATTCTTTCATCAGTCCTGTCTCCTTCTGACCTGACACAAGGCAATGCCACTAACCTTCTGAGAAGGAAGCAAGGGGATGGAGGTGGCCCTGGCTGCTCCTGATGCGGGTTCCAGTGCCCGGGCCCTGTTATCCACGTCCATCACATTAACAGCAGTTATTTCCTACTGTTTGAGGTACATCAAAGCAGCAATACCAAACAACAAGGACACCGAAAAGTCGTTCTGTCAAATCGGGCATATCAGAAGAGTTCCACGTTTCTGCAGAAGACGCAAGGATTTCACCCAACTTTCTTCTCCAGAAAAGCAAGCGATATTTCTAAGGTTCATCACAGACATATTGCTCGGCAGCAGAATGTTTTGCAACAACCTCTTACAATAGCATTTTAATTATCAAAATGTGTTTATCCTTTTGCTTCAAATGTCTAAGTTTATTGCATTTTGGTCAAAGCTTTTAATCTAGCACATTTTCCACTGTGGCAAATCTATCCAATTTTTAAATTTCATTTAGGCAGAATTCAGTGACACTGATGGAAAGAATGTTTTCACTTGACAAAGTTTATTCCAATGGTGAGGAGTTGGTTCAAAAAGTGGAGTTATTAGGAAATCTTTCAGAGGGTTCAGAAATCAGTACAAAATCCTGCTTCCCTTTGCAACGGCTGCCTCTAAACTTGCCATGAGCAGAGTCAGCAACTGCTACCCTGCTTGAGCTAGGGGGTCTGTATTTGGTTTATACTTCAACCCTTACCACCGAGACAAATAATCTACACGATTTTACTAGATTTATTTATTTGAAAGTCTGAGTTACACAGGGCAAAGGAGAGACAGGGAGAGGCATCTTCCATCCACGAGTCCACTCCCTAGATGGCCCCAACGGTTGAGAACAGACCATGCCACAGCCAGGAGCTTCATCAAGATCTCCTACATGGCTAGCAGGGGTCCAGGAATTTGAGCCATCCGCTGCTGCCTTCCCAGGGGGCTGAATCAGAAGTGGAGCAGCCAGGACATGAACCTGCACCCATATGGAATGCCAGTGCTACCAGCAGAGGATTGGCCTGTGACCACAGTGCCAGCTCCTGATAAATTGTCAATCAATGAGAAAATGATTGTTCACAAACTAAACAAAGCACATAAAATAATTTCCCCATTTTTTCAAGTCCGACACTTGTTAATCCGTCACTAGAATCTATATCCCCTATCCTGCAGCCTGTCACCCACTCAGCATACCCCTCCTTCATAGATAGAGGCACACGGAAGGCCACCACAGGTTTCTATTTCATCAGATTGATTGCAGGCCAGTACTATGCTGTCCCTGAGTGTATTTTCCTTCCTAGATTCTAAATCAGAGGGTAAGAAGCCCCTCACACTCATCTCCATTGCTCTCATTTATATTGAATCCGTATGTGTGCTCTGCTCTGAATCCTTTAACAAAAACCCTGAAGAAGCTGAGGCAGCTTGAACCACAGCTTGGCATGCCTGTGTCCCATCTCAGAGTGTCTGATTCAAGTTCCACTACTCTGCTTCCCATCTAGTTACCTACTACTGCACTGGCGAGGCCTCAGATGCTGATCAGTCACTCACACAAGAGACCCAGATGGAGTCCTGGCTCCTGGCTGTGATCTATCCCTGCCCCACTGCTAGAGACACTCGGTAAGTGAACCAGGGCACGGAAGACATATCTGCCTCTCTCTCTCTCAATTTCTCTCCCTCTCTTTCAAATAAATAAATAAATCTGATTGAAAAAGAAGCTGAAGCAAATTCAAAATGACTATAAGTTAAGGCAAACACAAAACAAGGTCCAAGATGTCTGGTCAGTCCAACAGAAGGAACCTAGGATGGAGCTATCCAGCAGTGTGCATCACACAGTGGGCACTCGTTCCCACTGTTCACCCAGCTGTCACCATTAGCAGAGGGTCCTTCTATTTCCCCAAAGCTCCAAGATGAACCATGTGAAACGGCGGGGGCCCAACAGCCATACTTCATCCAGTTTCCAGGGGTGCTAGAATGCTGATTACTAGGAAGAAATTTATGTTTAATCCACTGAAGTTGCTGCAGGCCTACCATAAATACATAAATCATTTTCTAAGGATCTCATAATTATACATTTGAACACTGACATTGGAAATAATATAGAACTAACAGTGCAATCTCCTTTTCTATAGATCGCAGTATGTCAGGATTAAAAAAGAAATGGAAAAGAAAAAGGGAAAAAAAACTTACTTTAAGCAGCCATGTGAGGACGGAGTCACGATAAGGAACAAACTTATTCTTGTTCTTGCCAGCACTCTGATCTGCGAGGGCGGAGATAACCAGACCGAGGGTCGTGAGCGACCTGCGTGGTGCAACAAGCCGGAACAGTTATACCAAAGGGAACATGCCAAACGTCACATGCTCACAGGAAGTCTGAGCATCAGGAGGCTGTGTACCTGCACACAAGCAACTGTGTGGTCAGCACGCTGCGGTTCAGTTCAGAAAGGCACAAACTCTAAAGAGCTGCTGTCCCTCAAGTTTTCTGAAGCAACGAAAATGCTCAACCTAACTGTGTATTTCATTTGAGTAAATACAAATGTAAGCTATAAATCTTCAGGTAAAAAGATACAAATACCACATGTCTTCAAGAAAGGAAATACAAACACAATAACAAAAAAGGTCAGTGAGGGGCTGGCACCACGGCAGAGTAGCTTAAGCCTCCACCTGCTATGCCAGTATCCCGAGTGGGTACCAGTCTGATTCCTGAATGCTCTACTTCTAACACAGCTCCCATTAATGTGTCTGGGAAAGCAGACAATGATAGCCCAAATTCTTTGGCTCCTCAACCCACTCGGGAAACCTGGAAAAGCTCTAGGCTCATGGCTTCAGATTACCCTACCTCCGGCTATTGCTGCCATTTAGGAAGTGAACCAGCGAATGGTTGATTTTCTTTCTCTGTGTATACCTGCCTTTCAAATAAAAATGAGTCTTCTAAAAAAAATCCACGAGGCAAGAAACAAAACAAAAACCTGTTTTAGCAATAGCACAACATCTGGATAGCAGTTACCCATTGCTGTGTTTTCAGCCATGAGCACAAAATAGACCTGGCAGTTCAGCTCGAGAAAGACACTAAAACCTGATGAAGGAAACAGTGAACAGATGTTTATCTCATAAGGCCTAGGTTCTCGGACCTGGACAACGCAATAGCAATTCTGATACTCCCAGTATACATGCTGTTGGCTCAGATGGCAACACTCAGGTCAAGGTCAACAGTTAAGAATTGGAGATGCCAATTACCTTTGTTCTTTTATACAGCTTGGACCAGTGGTTTTCAAATGGGGGCGAGCACATGGATGCCCTTGCTAAAGCCTGGGTTGTCACAGCAGAGTGTGAGGGGAGAGGCAACGGGTGCTACTGCCATCTAGTGGACAGATGCCAGGGATGCTGCTAAACATTCCACAATGCACAAGATCCACTTCTCTTTGAGGACAAAGCACCCAGAATGTCAACAGGGCACTGCTGAGACACAACCTAAAAAGGGCTCAGGTGCATGAAAAATACCAGAAAGAAAAACCCAAACTATGAGGATGTACTTAAATCACTCCAGAATCTTGTTATTTTATTTATTTATTTATTTATTTATTTATTTATTTTTGGTTCCCCTATCTGGCGATTCAGTCAACAAAGTGGTTAAAAAAAAAAGCAGTTCTGGAAAACTCACTTGTTGATGTTGCTCCCTTCCTTCAGCCTGTCGCCGGCAGCTCCGGTTTTTGTTGCTCGTTCACTACCAGCCAAGTCCACCAAGCTCAGCTTGCCTACTTTCTCCCCAGATGTCTACCAAAAAGATTGGATAAACACTAGTCACATAGTGAAAGAACTCAGAACTCAGACTGCTTCAGCTGCGTGTGTGACTGCATTTCAAGGGCATCTTGTATTGGTAGGAAGCACTGTAACACTACACTGTGGCTGGTCAATGCTCACGGCATGTACACAGCCCCACCAATCCCAGCAGAGCGAAGTGAATTACCTTATAGAAAACAGTGCCCCCAAAATGGGACACTCTGAAGACAGCTAATAAAACAGAGATATACACAAAACATGTATGATACACATTTGTATGACTTGAAACTACACTTAAAACCTCAAATATTTACAAATTATCCTGAGGCTAAATCCTTATAATTCTCACTAATACAGAAAAACATGAATCTTTCACACGACAAAAGAACTCCTCAAGACACATTGTACTATTCATAAATCCTTTTGTTTCACAATTACATGCATTACACTTATATCTTTTTCTAGCTATAAAATATTGTGTATACATATATATATACACACACTTGTATTTTCCTTTATCAAAAACAGTCCATTATCAACCCACAAACATATGTGTAACAAATTTTTACTCTTCAGCAATACAAGAAATAAAGGAAATGAATGCCAGTGGGACTGTTCTTAAAACTTCCCTTTAAAATACATGAGTATACATTTGCAAAAAATAACATTGCTAACAAAAGGGTACTCAATTTCACAAATCAAAAATACTTTTGGCTTAAAAAATAAAAAGGAAGCCTTCAATATGTTTTTTTTTCTTTTATGTTGAAAGGAAATAGGAAACAAAGCACTTCTGTTGTTGTTATTCTTGCTGTGATGCTGAACAAGAAAAAGGTTTTCAGCATATGTAACTCCTGCCAAACACGGCACTTTGCAGAGCAATTATTTCAACTTCTGGTATTTGAAACTAATACGTAATAAAATATGTAAAACCTGACATCAAAGAACAAAACAATAACAGATGAGTCAACAGAGACATTGTCAATATGGCACAATTATACAAATGAGTTCACTTATTTCTCACAAGATTTCAAATCAAAAACCCAAAACTTGGGGGCCTAGTGGCTGAAGTCCTCGCCTTGCACATGCCAGGATCCCTTATGGGCACCGGTTCTATTCTGGCAGCCCCACTTCCAATCCAGCTCCCTGCTTGTGGCCTGGGAAAGCAGAAGAGGAAGGCCCAAGGCCTTGGAATCCTGCATCCACATGGGAGACCTCGAAAAGGCTCTTGCCTTTGGATTGGCACAGTTCCGGTGGTTGGGGCCAGCTGGGGAGTAAATCAGAGGACAAAAGATCTTTGTCTCTCCTCTCTGAATATCTTACTTTCCAATCAAAATAAATTAAAAAAAAAACCTTACTCAACAAACTCTAGTTATTTTATAGCACAACCTTCCAGTGCAAACTAATCCCTCCAACACTGGCCCTTCAGTAGAGGGTAACACTGCAAAGAGGTGTGCACTCAGTCAACTGGAACATTAACCTTAGCTCGTGCCCTTAGGCACCAATTGAAAGCTCAAACACCAGGGGTCTCCAGCCAGCCTCCCTCTGCTCCACCACCATTCAGCTAGAGGGTGGGGAACTAGACTCTGCCTCTGTCAGATGCCTCTGTGGCCAGGCTGCCCGTGTGACACAGGCTCTGCCAGTCAGCTCCTTCTGCCTGGAAAGCGGAAGTAAAGCCAAAGCCACTCCCCGCCTCCCTCGGCTTTTAGTCCCTTCGGTCCAGTGCAAACAAGGCACTGCCCACTGGAGGCCCTAGCACCTTCTCTGTTTCCCAGGGAGCTGAGGCCACTGTGTGGACAAATGTAACGTCTCTATTTCTTCTGACCTTGGCAATAGGGTGGCACCTTGAACTCCTGGCTCTAGTGGGGTCCTCAGAGAGCTTGGAGGCTGTTCGCAGGGGTCCAGACATAGAGCTGTGATCATCCCACTGTCTGCAGCCGGGCCCTGCCTGCTCACGGGGAGGGACTTCTGTTTCTTGTTCAAGTCCTAACTGACACAAGTGCCTAGGACCCTGTTCACTCATCAAATATCTGAAGACAGACAAGCCCCGATGTACATTAGATACAGAAACAGAGGAAAGGCATGACACCTACCCCGGACTTAACGTCGTATAGAGTATGCGTGAGGGTGATTTTGAAGACTGCGTGGGACCGGCTGCTCTCCTCGTTCATGTTGGTGGCAGCAACTGTGCGAGACTTGTTACCCTCAGACATCAAAGACTCGATATCCTAGAAGGAGATAAGTCACAGACACTTGTCTCCACATCCAGGTGTAAGCATGGAAACTCTGCTACCCTACAGAATGCGGTACAAACTTCACTACTTAGTCAACAATGTTTGGAGTTTTCATTTGGCTTTTTCAATGAATACTAAAACCCACAGAGTACAACAGCTAACACAGTCTCTGAAAACTCAGAGACTATTTTCTGTAAGTACAGACCAAAGAGGCAAGTGTCAACTCAAAATTGGAAAAATTTAGAACAGGGATGCGCAATGTGCTGTCAGTAGGATGACCATTGTGCTGTAGATGGGTACAAAGTCTCTGAGACACCAGCATCCCCTATGGGCACCAATTCATGTTCCAGCTGCTCCACTTCCAAGGCAACTCCCTGCTACTGACCTGGACAAAGCAGAAGATGGCCCAAGTGCCTGACACCTACAGGGAGACCCAGGTGAAGCTCCTGGCTGCCTGACCCGACGTTGGCTACTTCAGCCAGCAAGGAAAGGAACCAGTAAATGCAAGATCTCTTTCTCTCTCTTTTTCAAACTAAACAACTATATTAATTTTTTTTAAAAGTTCAGAAGTTACACTTTGAGTCACACAGATAGATACATATGACATGCTAACCCTCACCTAATTTGGAAATTGTTTAAAATTTCATTTAGGTCACAGACTCAATGCAAATGTGCCATTAAAACAAATCGTACTATGCACAATAACTTGTAACCTCTTCACTCAACATGTATCACCAACTTTGTGTTTATCTTACCAGACCTGCTTTGGGTGTGGATGTTTGTATGTGTTTTGAGCACAGATCTTCCATGTATTGGTTCACTCCCCAAACACACACAACAGCTGGAGGTACACTAAGCTAAAACAAGAATAGTATTTCAGGTCTCCCTCATGGGTGACAGAGACCCAGGTGTTTGGGCAATCCCTGCTGCTTCCCAAGGTACGTGCTCACTATGGAATGTAGGAGTCCCAGCAGCACACCAACCACTATGCCAAGTGCCCACTCATTTTAAAAATGAGATCAAAAGACTAATTTTCTGTATATATTTATTACTTGCTACATCTGATAAAAGAAAAAAAGGGGGAAGAAGAGTGAGACAGAGAGAAAGACATGTAACAAAAATCATAGATTTTCATTTTCTAAAATGCTTTAAGTTCTATGATAGTCACTTTTGCATTTCACTACTGAGTTACGATATCATCTACCTCACAAGGATTTTAACAAGGAACAAGCAAGATAATATATAAAAGACAGCAAGTTTTCTCCTATTACCCAGTTCCTTCTTTCCAATGAAAAGTACCCCACCTTTGGCTGAGCTGAAAGACTACATTTCCCACATGCACTTGCAGTTCAATCTTGCCACATGGTGCCCAACATGTCAAATCCAGCATAGGCCATCTGGAACTCTCCTTTAGGGACTAAATAGACATGCTATCCCATCGTCTCTACAAGACATCCTGAACCATGAGGATGGGGCATAAGGGTGTCTCTCACTGCAAAACTACAAAAGCAACCTGACAGCCACTCTATCACCCAACCCCAGAACATCCACCCCCTAGGACTTCCATTAATGAGAAGTCTTGTGCAAATTACCATCCGTTCACTTGTTCAAGTGTATACTGAGCACGAATCACATGTCAGGGCTCCCCAGACACAAGAAACACTGGGACAAAACAGCCCACATTCCATTCTTCAAAACCTTTCAGCATTCTATACGGTTTTAATGTTATCTGCAGCAGAACATAACCCCAACATGTCTACGTACATGAGAGCAAAAGCACTCTATTTTCCACATAAATATGAAAAAATAGTATTTCTGGAAAATTCAAACATAATAAAAAGCCTTAAAGTAAAAAGCATGAACCAGTTAAAAAAAAGTTGCAAGTGGGCACCCAGATGGGTACAGAATATCACAGGGTAAATTCACAGTTATCTAGATTGATTCCAAGCCTATTTAGTCTGACAATCCTGACACTTGGTGGAAAAGCTTCCTCCTACTTAGCTTGCATTTGCTCACTGGTCTCCAGCTTGTTATCTCATTTTAAGATTTTCATGAAAAGTGGTTTAAAAGTGATGCCAGTGTAAAATTGTTTTAAAATAACAAATTAAACAAATGAAAACACTGTAGTTTACTCAGTTTAAGTAGCTCCCATAAAGGACATGGTTACCTTGTAGCTTGTGACAGCCAATTTAGAAAGTCCATCAACATAGGGTCCCAACACACTATGCTCTCTGACTTTCAATGTCTGACGGCTCCTGTAATGAAAAACAACCAATTTTAAAAACAATATCCTGTTTTTTAAAAAAAGGACTCAACTACACCCCATAAAAACGTTATGTTGTATTCAAAAGAAACCCTGGAATCAACAAAACCAACTGAATTGATCCTAGAAGGATTTAAACCATATTTTAAAATCTTCACTGGGAAGAAAGCCTTCATAATGTGGCAAAATATCACATCCCTCAAAAGGGTACACTGTGGGATGTCTATTTACAACACAAAGAATGCAGAGTCATAGAAACATGAACAATCTACTTGTCATATCACAGAAAGAGCAGAAACGCAACAAATGTTAACTATGCAAGAAAGGAAAAATACAGACCAATCTCAATCATGAATAAAGACAGACATAAAACAACAAACTGAATCTAATAATGAGTTAAAACCAAACCAGGCTTACCATAGGATTGTTAGGGTGTTTCAACATTGGGGAAAAAAAGACTCTGACACTTCACTTTAAGAGGTGCAGAAGCAAGGATCCATATGATTATTTTGACAAATACATGAAAAACTCACGCAACAACATTAAAACTAAATGCTCAAGGCTTTTAAAAATAAATAAATTTCTTAGCAAACAAGTAGTCTATTGAGTAAATCACAGCTGCCAATACAAAACTCCACAGCACCCTTAAAACAAAAACATTCAGAACACTATAGAGATGTTAGTCCAAGGCCTCAAAATTAACTACAAGTTCTCAAGATCTAGCGCACAGAATCCTGACCACAGTCAATAATATAATGTATATATCAAAATTGCTGAGAATAGGCTTGAAATGTTTACAACAAAAGCACACACCGGAATATTCACTTGATTTAATCATTCCCCAATGTAAGTCTGCACAGGTCAAATATACTGGGGCCTGGCACATGGCCTCGTAGTTAAAAGTTCTCACTTTGCACACGCCCAGGATCCCAAGTGGGTGCTAGTAAATGTCCTGGCAGCTAGTAAGTGTTGTGGAAGCACAGCTCTGACTACTGCAACCACTTGAGAAATAAATCATCAGGAGGAAGATCTTCCTCTCTGTATATCTGACTTTCCATTAAAAATAAACCTTTTAAGAAAACATTGTACTCCATAAACAACTTATTTGCCAATTAAGAATAATTTTTTACACAATAGAATCTGATAGCAATGAGATTCTGCATTTATCCATATTTTCCACCATGAATGCGTATGCACTTTACAGTATAAAAAAATCTTGATTTTAAGATTTTTAATTTTTATTGGAAAGTCAGATATACAGAGAAGGGGAGACAGAGATCTCCCGTCTGTTCACTAACTCCCCAAGAGGCTGCAATGGCCGGAGCTGTGCCAATTCGAAGCCAGGAGCCTCCTCCAGGTCTCCCACACAGGTACAGGGTCCCAAGGCTTTGGGCCATCCTAGACTGCTTTCCCAGGCTACAAGCAGAGAGCATGATGGGAAGTGGGGTCACCAGGATTAGAACCGGTGCCCATATGGAATCCCAGTGCACGTGAGGCAAGGACTTTAGCCATTAGATTAATGCGCTGGGCCCTGGCTTTTTTTTAATTAATTAATTAATTAATTTAAAATAATGAGTTATAATACTTAAAATTCTTAGGCAGTCCCTCGATAGCTGTGAAAATAAGACACCACTCCTCAGCTGGACATGCACGCTCCTTTCTAATCTGTTCTTATGCAATTGTCTCAACTTATCACCTTCCCAGAATTGATTTGCATACACCCATTCTTTTTTTTTAGTTTTTTTAAGATTTATTTTTATTATTTTTTTATTGGAAAGGCAGATGTACAGAGAGGAGAGACAGAGAGGAAGATCTTCCGTCCAATGATTCACTCCCCAAGTGAGCACAATGGCCGATACTATGCCGATCCGAAGCCAGGAGCCTCTTCTGGGTCTCCCACGCGGGTGCAGGTTCCCAAAGCTTTGGGCCGTCCTCGACTGCTTTCCCAGGCCACAGGCAGGGAGCTGGAAGGGAAGCGGGGCTGCCGGGATCAGAACCGGCGCCCATATGGGATCCCGGGCGTGCAAGGCGAGGACCTTTAACCACTTGCGCCACTGCGCCGGGCCCCATACACCCATTCTTAAATACACCTCCATAAGGGCTTGAACAATGTTTTAGTAACTGGGGTGTCTGCAACTCCTAACTGGGCAAATCAATAAATGAATAAACAAGGTTAACAAAATGAAAACAGATTCTAAATATGCTAGCTTACATGATTTGGAGAGAAAGTCTTGTAACAAAAAAAGGGGGAGGGGAGGAAGAAATGGTCAAGAATATGCAACATAAACAGCAAGTACAGAAACTGTAACCACACCTAACTGCCTTCACCCACTATAAGCAAAGCAAACTGGTATACGACGGATGAGATCATATGAATAGCTATAGAACAGTCTTTCACAGGAGGAACAAAGGTAGGGTGTGAGGAAATGATTCTCAAATCTAAGATGTTTACTGTCCTCCAGCACACTATCACAATCTTTTCTAATGATCTGTATCGTACAGAATGTAGGATCAATCATAAAAACCATAACTATAGATGAAATACATACACTGAACAAGTGGCCGGTGTTGTGTTATAGCAAGTGAAATCACACCTGCAATGCCAGCATCCCATGTGGGCACCATGTTGTACCTGTCTGCTCCTCTTCAAATCCAGCCACCTGAGAATGGCCTGGGGAAAGCAGCAGAAGACTGCTCTGCTATCCATGTGGGAGACCTGTAAGAAGCTCCTGGCTTCAGCCTAGTCCCAGCCATTTGGAGACTAAACCATCAAATGGAAGCTCTGTCTCACCTCTCTCTGTAATCTTCACTTTCAAATTTAAAAAACCATATATTTTAAAAATGAAATGTGTATATATATATACATATATATACATATACACACATATATATCAAACATTTGCCTTATCTCTCACCTCTCAACCGCAAAACATATTCTATTACTTCTTGTCTTTTATTTTCTCCCTTTTTCTGAAAGACAATCCACACTACATTATCTCCCAAATGAAACAATGTAACTATAACTCACAAGGCAGATGCCTTGTGAAATTTAATTCTAATAGATTTAGTACATGAATGGAAAAATGTTCTCTCAACCTACAGCTAAAACAAGACTACACTTGAGGTTTCAATCCATTTTTCTCCAACTTCCTCACTTTCCGGAAGAAGGAAACAACAACAGCTACCACTTACTGAGTACTTCCTGTACCTCAGTCAATGTTCTAAGATCTCAGAAGCACCATCCCAAGCTGTCTCCACAGTAGTCCTCTGAGATACTGTGTCCTAACAGAACTCACCTCCACACAATAGGCCTGGGCAGGGTAAGGAATTTGCAAGACAGGTGACAAGACGTATAGATACAGAGTTAGATGAATCCAAAGCTCACACTGTGAATTACTAATCTATATATAAGACAAACATAATGAATTACTAAAGGTTATGAATGGCTGTAGGTAGTAAATTTCAAGCAATCCCACACAGCACTGTGGAACTCAAAACTCAAAAATAAACAGGTACGCAGTCAGTTAAGAATTTCTGGAATGAGTAAGTCTGGGCTGGAGCTCAAAGACCTTCGGAGGTCAAAGTGCAAGAGAAGGCATTCAAGGCAGAGCAAGAAAATGCAGAGGCTGGGGAGTAAGCAAGATGTAAATTCCTGCCTATCACCTACCCACCTCTGACCTCCAATTCCATCCGACCTCTATGCATTCTCTCTCCACCCACTCTGAACTGATGGATCATTCACCAAACAGGTGATTTCTTCACATCTCTATGCTTCAGTATAAGCTTTTCCCCATGCCTGAGTAGTTCTCACCTCACATCTCAGCAGACAAACATTTACTCAGCACAAAATTCATCCAGCCCCATCTGTGGACTCTTCCCTTCTTGGAGCAAAGTCTTCATTCTTCCTCTGCTCTCCATTAGCCTCCTTACAGGCTGCAAGCACACTAACACTGCCTTACAATTACCTGTTTACAAAACTCTCATTCTGTCCACACTGTAAGTCCTTTCTCTATGATTTGTTTGGTGCCCGCGGCATATGCTAATACTCAACCAATTTTGGTTACATAAACTTTAGGTAGAAACACTAAGCGCTGATTCAGTCACCCTGTGAAGGCCTGAATATCATTATCTACGTCCAAAAATAATAATCATGGACCACGAACACCAGTGGCCCTGGCAAGCTAGGGCTGCTTTCTCCTGATGGAGCAGCACCATGCTCACTGACTCCAAGATCACCTTCCCTGGATCATCTTCCTCATCCAAACAGAATTCAATGTCTCCTGCTGTCCAAGGCACTTGCTATAAGCCTCTGCTTATCTGGCTCCTCAAGCTCCCAGATGCTATTTTGACAACAGCAAGCCCCAGACAGTGGTCATTATCTCCACCTCTCTCTCTAAATCCACACTTCTTTAAATTCTGAACTTGGAGAACTCTACACCTAAAGGGCTTCCTTGCCTACCTTCTGCTTCTCTTTAACTCCAGCCATGGCAACACAAGTCCCAAGACTACCTCAGAAGCTGTCAACTACTTCTGAGCCACTTCTTTTTTAAAAACCTTGAATGAACTCATGGGCACCTTTTAGTTTCTGGAAGTCCTTAACCATCCTAAAGACCAGGCTTGCCATTTCTGATAATGCCTTTCCTTTATTTTAGTCTGTAAACAGCTGAATTCCACCTGAAATTTCAAACATTTAAAAAATGTTTTAAACCTAACAAGTTATACTAAATGTCGACTTTCACCACCTACTTTCAGTGTATAACTTTAAATGAATCTGAGAAAGGCAAAATGCCACAAAACTGAGGACACTTCAAAAAGTTCATGCAAAAATGGAATTGACAGGCAAGTTTATTTTTGTGCTAAAGCACATTTTTAAAATCCATGCATGCTAGAAGGTCTTCATAAAGTTTGATAAAATGGTTATTCTAAAAAACTATCCATGAATTTCGGAACTTTTTTGTTTCAAAATTATCTTTTCATTTCGTTTGTCCATCATCACCTTTTATTTATTTATCGGAAAATCAGAGAGACAGACAAAGAGATCTTCATCTTACATTTCGTTCCTTGTATGCCCAAAATAGCTGGAGCTGAGCCAGGAACCCACAATTTCATCCGCATCTCCCATGTGAGACAGGAACTCAAGTACTTGAGCAACTCTTGGCTGCTTTCCAGGGTACGCATCAGCAGGAAGCTGACATTGGAAGCTGAGCGAGGACTGAACCTTGACAATTAAGCTTCTTAATTGGCAATGTGCCAATGTCAGCCTGATATCCCACAAACTTTCTTAAGTACTTTTATTCATGCCTCTTCAACCACTCCTCCCTACCCCTAAACTCCTCTCCTCTCAATCCTATGTTCCAAAGACCAGATCTGGTTAACTGCAGGAAAGCGATTTAACATAACTCAAATCACAAAGATCAGTAACGCTGAAACAGTTCAATATGAAAACTTCCCTTAAGCCAATTTATTAAGTCTGTTTTAATCTGTAACACTAAAGAGTTGAGTTCTTTTACCCTTTGGGATCCAGAAGGTCTCTAACTTTCTCATTATAAATTTCCATGTAGGATACTTCTACTTTAAAGCTCTGCTCTTCGTTTTCCTCTTTCTGAGTTCGTTCGAAGAGGCTACTGCAAAGTCGTGGGATTAATCCAGGTTGGTCAGCTGTGCCCATCATGGTGTACGATTTACCAGACCCTAAACAATAGAAGTCAGAGTTATTATTGTCTCTTTGACATGTTTAAATACATAACTTTTGCTCTATCGCTCATAACAAATTACTAACAGTAAAATGCTGAAAACGCAAAAAATATACTCAAATATAACACAGAAGCTTCCTTTCCACATACATGAAAGTCATCAGAAAATGTCCTAGAAAGGAAAAACAGTCATCTTTCTGAATCACCCATATGCCTTAAGAAAAACTCCAAAAATGAATAATAATGAAGTTTAATTTTCTAATGTAAATGGTGAAAAGCCATATGATTACTACTATTGTACTTGCTCCCATTCATTTAGCATAGCACAAAATATTACATCGTGGTCCCAGAACAAATTAACTCACTAGCAACATCATGGAAACCAAAGAATAGCCTTTTTCTAAGATAAAATCATTTCCTCCATTGTAACAGAAATGTATATTCATTAAAGAAAAAATTTAAATCAAAGGAAAATAGAAAAGAATTACGTTATCATAGCCCTAGCATCCCCAAACAGTTACTACTGACACACAGCAGTAATTCCCTCCTTTTTTAGTAGCACTGATTGCATAAACAGGCTGTTAGCCACATCAGTTGCCACTTTGGTTCCCTGACACTTCCTTATTTTAACACCTAAAATTCACATGGTACTTTACCACATTTCAGGTCTTCTCTGAATCTAGACAAAGTAGCTTACACGACAACCCTAACAAGAAAGTCTAGTAACCATATAGATATTTTACAGAAAAAAAGCGCTGGGGTAAGAAGGTGCTGGGTCATTCGCGCAGGTTCCCCACTGCGGAGCAGGAAGAGCAGGACCAGGGCATGGTCTGTCTCCACAGTTTCTACTCTTCTAACCACTGCATCCAACCCTTCTTGAAAATATTATCACTTTTTTTTTTTTTTGGTGAATACTAGTTACCAGTTAGATAAGCTACAAAACATAAGATACAATCAGAAAAGCAACTACTTCATCTTTAATAGATGTTCTTTCCATGACCACAGGGACACAGAAACTGAAAAGCTCCTTATCAACTGTAACTGAAGACAAATTAGCAAATGTTCTTTTAGGTTTGTATTTCCCTGTTTCAAGGATTTAAGCTAGGATACCCAAGCATGCTAAATAATAATGTTCAACAGTCATAGCTCTATAATGTATTTCAAAAGGCCCAATTCTGCCAGTGTCTTCTGAGAAGATCAGGGAAGCAATAGAATTCTAGTCCTAATTTTATTATTCTCATTAAAAAAGACGACTAATTTCATCACCTATAGTGATTTCCTGTAGAGGCAAATAACAGCCTATATCATCAACATGTTACTCAGCATACCTCACTATTTTCTCTTTCATGAAAAGCCATGTTTTCATGGAAATTCACATAATTTAACATTACCAGTCTGTCCATACGCAAAGATGCATGCATTGTAGCCATCAAAAGCATTCTGAAGGATATTTTCCCCAAGGCACTTGAAAACATCATCTTGACCTGAAGAAGAGATAATGTTGTAAGCCAAAAGTACTCATGAACAATTTTTTTTAATCTCAAAACTGCACCATCAGCTTATTTATCTGTAATCAAGATTTTGAAACTTGGTAAGTTTCCCAAAGACTTACACACTTCAAGTTACTTCTAATTAGAACATCGAGGAGACTCAGTAAAAAATTTCCTATAACATATACTTGAATGCATTAGCAATGAGCACAAGGAGCCAATGAGCAGATAAAAATATTTGTATATATATACTTGGGACCTACATATACCTTTTTATATTCCACTCAGGCAATGCTTATATTCAAACTAGAGTTTTAGAACAATCATATACATCAACTCCCTCTTTCCTTTTCCTCAATGATAATTTCTAGTTACACAGTGTATATTACATACTGTTTAGGACAGGGAGCACCATAGTACCATCCTGAAATCTTCCCTTAGCTTTTTTTTTTTTTTTAAGATTTAATTTTATTTGAAAGAATCACAGAGAGGAGACAGAGATCTTCCATCAGCTGGTTCACTCCCCCAGTGGCCACAATGGCCAGGACTGAAGCCAAGAGGTTCATCTGTGATCCCACTGGGGACAGCAACAGCTCAAGTTCTTGGGCCATCTTCTGAAGCTTTTCCAGACACATTAGTACAGAGCAAGATCAGAAGTGGAGCAACTGGGATTCAAACTGGTGCCCACATGAGATGTAGGCATTGCAGGCAGTGGTTTAATCTCCAAGCCACAACACTGGCCCCCTCCTTCAGCTTTTAATCACAACCACCAATAACAGTTAAATTATTTGGCCATGGACAAAATAAGAGACATCATTACTTGTGACACCAAGTTTCAAACATGATACGGAAAGAGGAAATGCACCATGTTTTGGTGATGGCATTCAATATGTCTCAGTTCCTAATTAATTGATCATACTTGATATTTGGGTAACTCTTAAAGTCATTACTGGGCTGGAATAAACTTTCACAACAGCTACAGAACAAAAGCAAATACAATATGGTGTTTCAATTTTTTTAGCTTATTTATATAAAGTAAACAAATTTAATATTTACTATTACAAGCAATTGCTTAGGGGTAGGAGTTTGACTCAGCTATTGAGATCTGCCTGGGGCACCAGCATCAGTCTAATGAGTCTAGCCTCCTGCGAAGCAAGAGGTGATAGCTAATGTGTTTAAACCCATCACCCACATGTGACCTGAACTGAGTCCCCAGGCTCCTGGCTTCAGTCCAGCCAAGGTCCAGTTGCCAACATTTGGGTAGTGAACCAATGGGTGGGAGATCTCTCTTATCTGTTTTTCTCATGTTTTAATAGATAGATTCTTAGAGTAGGTTTTACAGAATAGCGGGTTAAACCACCATTTGGGACACTCATATCTCATAGCAAAGTACCAATTTGAATTCTAATTACTCTGATTTCAATCCAGCATCCCAGATTTTGTACTTGAGAGGGTAGCAAATGATGGCCCAATTACTTTGGCCCTGTCACCTAGGTAGGAGATCTGCATGGAGTTCCTGGTTCTTGGCTTTGACTAGTCCATCCCCAGCTGCTGCGGATATTCTGGGAGTGACTCCCTCTTTGTCACTCCGTGTTTCAAATAAATTTTTTTAAAAAATCAAATAGACAAATAAATGAAACTGCTTACAAACAGATAATTTATGCAGTTAGGAATAAAGGAAATAAAATGTTGTCACTGTAGTCCTACACTTGTGGAGAGGAGGAGGCAGTTATCATTTAGAATAATTAAAATAACCATGTGGCGCAAACAGAACATTCAGAGAGAACACGGCATGTTCCTCTCCACGACAGAGAGAAAAGTGAAGTTCTGACAGGTACACTGACTTACTGAAAGCCGCAGGGGTGGTGAGGAGCACAGCTCGGGTTCCAGCCTGGGCTCCGTCTTCTCCTGGCTGGCACTCCTCTTCCTCCCCTCCTCCTCTGCCTGTCCAGGTCCATCACAGGTATCTCAGTGAATCTACATCCCTGCTGTGTGCCAACACGTGTGTGTATACGTGTTTGTGTGGGAGAGAGTGTGTTTGACAAAGAGCTGTCATTGTGCACCCTATTCATACCATTTTACCATCTCATGCCAAGAACAGCACACTGTTCAATGCAAAACCAACAGTAAACACTGGAGGAAGTTATTCATACATGGTTTCAAAGTTCTACACAATGCTACTACAATAGGATATGGCAAAGAATTTCCCAGAACTTTCTTGACACTATCAAGAGTTAACAGAATGTGCTCATTACCTGCATACTTTTCTCTGACGGATTCATCCATAGACCAGAAACAATGATCATAAGCAAACACCTGTTGAAGAGTAAATTAAGAGAATGCATTAGAAAAAAATCTTACGACTCTTCACGTCAAAGCAGTCTCAAAACATTAACAAAATTATTCAAGATAATGAAATACAGACACTTGCAATAACACAGGCAAATTAAAATTTTTACAGTATTACATTAACAACAATCAATGAGTAATACACATTTATATTTTACTTGGAAAACGATTTACAATGCTACACGGGGGAAAAGGGTTACAAAACATTATTTGTGGGGCTAGTACTAGGGCATCCAAGTGGCCCCAACGGCCGGAGCTGAACTAATCAGAAAGCCAGGAGCCAGGAGCTTCTTCCAGCCCAAGGCCCTGGGCTGTCCTCAACTACTTTTCCAGGCCATAAGCAGGAGCTAGATGGGAAGCGGGGCCACAGGGATTAGAACTGGCACCTGTACAGGATCCTGGCACATGTAAGGCAAGGATCTTGGCTGCTAGGCTACTGCACCAGACCCACAAGTGATTTTTAAATAGTCATGCAATAGTTCCTCACATCTTTTCTGCCATCTCCAACCTCTGCTCAACACAAAATAAGGAAACAGGAAAAAACAAAACAAAAAACTACACCTTTTTGATGGCAAGGTGCAGTCTGACATACACAAAGAAGTAAAGGTCACACTCAATTACTTTTTTTCAGCATCAGAGTCTCAAACAGCCCTGTCTATATATGTTTTAGCAAAAATGATAGAGAATGAAGTCAGAATTCAACCATAGACCCTAAAACAAGAACAAAACCTCAGGAATGTGGCACAACTCTGAATACCCTGGAAACATCAAGTCAACTCAGAGAATTCACAAATGGAGTGCCCGTGCCTACTTTGGTGCTCCAGTACTCCTAGGGGACCAAAGACAGAGGGAGTGACTCCTCCAGCTGAGTTTCTTTAACATCTGGGCTCAAATCTGAGATCAGGGCACATTCCCGTGAGAATCTAAGGGGTGTCCGGTGGCCTGGGCGTGTGTTCCCAGCTGTCCTGGAAGTGAGGATGAGTTGGCCGGGCAATGCTGACCGCAGTTCGGGACTACCAGTCCTGCGCCAGTCTGTGGCACAAAAGCAATCTGTGTTTAGTTGCTAGGAGACTGGCCAGAATTGGGCAAAGTGCAAAGACAGCTTTTCCATAAACCTCCAGGCCCCCCTAAGCCAATGAACAGCTTTGGATTTGGCAGTAGGCTGATGGCTTGTGTGACTTTTACCAACCTGACAGAAAGTATTTTCATCTTTTACAAGAAAGCCATCCTGTTCCACACCCCTCCCCAAAAAAGTGCACACGAGCTCTTTACAGCACCATGTGAAGAAGCAAGCCTCTTACCTTGGGTTGGGCGCTGAGTTCCCAAAACAGATGTCACCATTCACATGAAACAAAAGAGGAGGGGGAAGTTAGTTTATAAAATGCTTTTCAAAAGGTAAAATAAACATTATGTAAATTTGCAGCAACAACACAAATATTATCTTTGAAACCAAACAGTAATTTAAAGGATAAATTCATGTCATTAACCTGTAGCGTAGGGTACTAATTATGGAAAACTAACTTGTGTCTGTCTGGTGAAACAAAGACCATCCAACGTACTGGATACCTTCAAAAGTCCCAACAGTCCTTCCTCATCCAGTCTGCTTATCCTTGTATATGTCTATTCAATTTCCTTTTAAAAATCTTCCCTTTTTATCACGATTTCACTTTCAGCACTTTCCTGTTTTAAGCTGCAATGTGCTCTCTTATCGGCACATGCAGACTCTCCCACAAAAACTGAATTCAAGTTCTAAGTAAAAGAGGTAAAACTAATGGAACAACTAATTTCTGGCTGGCCAGTTGCTGCTTACACACTGTCCACTGCTTGTTCTCTGCTTATCCAGGTGGCACTCTAACAGGTCCCTTCCCTCCCCAAGGCGCCTGTGGACTCTCATCTCTTCAAGAAATACAGCTCAATGTGCCTAGCTATCACAACTCTGAGGTAGTTCTAAATATACAGCAAGATAATGTACAAAGAACTGCCACTGACCCTTGGCTCAATTCACCAACTGTTACCATTGCCATGGCTACTTTCTCTTTCCTGCTCATTAAGATACACACATATATATATAGCTTTCATCACAACCATCTCAGAGTACTTTGTAATTCCTAAAAACAATAATGCTCACTTATATGATCACTGTACAGTATCAAAATCAGACAATGTAAGATCAGGAGGGGCCAGCAACATGATGCGGTGGATTAAGCTGCCATCTGTGATGCCAGCTGATACAAGCTGCTATTCCACTTTTTAAAAACATTTTTTAATGATTTTTTACATAGTTGATTAGGGTGTAAAAGGCTACAGGAAAGTGGGTGAGACCATCATTTTTACAGTCTTTTTTTGTTCCTGCATCTGGGGGAAAGGAGGAGGAGCCACATCCAGCCTCCCAACCACCTTCATATCCTGAGATGGAGGACAGCCACCAGACACCATCCCAGGGTCCCCCAGTGTGGGGCAAGCTCCAAGGGTCCTGCTCAAGAGGTTATGACAGTTCAACAGTTCTGAATTACTGCCGATCTTGCCACTCCAAGCACAATGGAATCTCTCCAGAATCCACTAGCTGACATAGTCCATCTTAGAGTCTCCATTTGCACAGATATTCACTGCCAACACGTGGCAAAGATAGTTAATGTATCTGTTCTGTCTTTCGTCCTCTGTTATGGTATCAAGTGTCCTCTGCAGGCTCCAGTGCACTGCCATATCCTCCATGTGCACCTGGATATGCTGCCCAATGCTCCATCTAAGCCACTGAGGAGGCCCAGCTCTGACACATGCACTCCATGATCAGACCATGAAACCTGCAATTCTCTCCATGGTTGGGGTTCTGAGTTCAGCGATTTACTTGGGGAAATCCCCACAAAAACTTCCTCTGAGGTGTTCTCATATCTTATGCTGCATGTGCTTACTAACACTAGTTCTGGCACAGTCTGTCGCACACACTGGCTGTTGCAACTGCTGTGTCAGTTCTGTCTCCAGCCCTGTCTTCTATGCAAGCCAATGAGCGTTGGAGCCCAGCCAAATCCTGCCCACCACACTCGCGCACTCGACCCTCTTGCAAACCAGTGGAAGCTGCAGCCTAGTTAGAGAGACCCACAAAAACCCCTGTTAGGCCTGCCTCCTGCCATAGTTCCCATGTTGCCAGTATGTACAAACACACTGGTCCAGTCTGTCCCACATCCTGTTCAGCTCTTGTACATGTCAGTAGGCACTGAAGCCCAGTTCAACCCAACTAGCATCACTATCCAGCCCACTGCTGTTCTATTTCTGATCCAACTCTCTGCTGATGAGCCTGAGAAGGCAGTATGAGATGGCCCAAGTGCTTACTTAGGTCCCTGCCACCCTTATGGGAGACACAGGATGGAATTCTGAGGTTCTCCTTTAACCCTGGCCCAGGCCCAGTTATTGAAGTTAGATGAAACTATCTAGCACATGAAGACATTCTCTCCTCTTTCTCCCTTCCAAGTAAACAGATCTGTAAACAATAAAGGGGGACAGTGCTGTAGCCTAGTGGCTAAAGTTCTCACCTTGAACATGCTGGGATCCCATATGGTCGCTGGTTCTAATCCCAGCAGCTCTGCTTCCCATCCGACTCCCTGTTTGTAACCTGGGACCCTGCACCCGCGTGGGAGACCCAGAGGAAGCTCCTGGCTTCGAATCAGCTCAGCTCTGGCCATTGTGGTCACTTAAGGAGTGAATCATCAGATGAAAGATCTTCTTCTCTGTCCCTTCTCTTCTCTCCATATATGACTTTCCAATTAAAAAAAAAATAAATCTTTAAAACATTTTAAAAACAAGAATGCAGGAAATCGCTTTTTAAAGATTTATTTATTTGGATATCAGAATTAATGAAATAGAGACAGAAACTGAGATCTTTCATTTCCTGGTTCACTGCCCAGAAAAACACAACAGCCTGGGCTAGTCAAGAGTCAGGAGCTTCTTCCAGGTCTCCTACATGTGTGGCAGAAGACCAAGCACTTGAGTCATGTTCTGCTGCTTTCCCAGGCACATTAACAGGGAGCTGGTTTGGAAATGAAGTAGCCGAGTCTTAAGCCAGTGCCAAAGCGGGAAGCTGACATGGCAGGTGGTGGCTTTACTCACTACATCAGCAACAGCAAAGTCCTTTTAAAATCCAAGTAAAGTAAGAACAATAATTAGTTCTTACTTCTCAGAGGCTTAACACTCCAACTGCAGCCAAAAACTTGAAAGGAAACTGCTGGCAAATGCTTCCTTCTAGCTGTACATTTTCTTGCCCCTTGGTTTCATGAGATTTTCTTCTAAAAAGAACTTAATATTTGTTTGTACTGAATTACTTCAGATGGGGAACACTGATGCAGCACATTAAGCCACTGCTCCCAACAATGGCATCTCATGAGCTCTGTGTGATGGCTCAACTAGCTAATCCCCCTCCTGCAAGCACTGGCATCCCATATGGGCTTTGGCTCATGTCCTGGCTACTCCACTTCCCTTCCAGCTCCCCGATTGTGGCCTGGGAAAACAGTGGAGAATGGCTGAAAACCTTGGGACGCTGAACCCGTGTGGAAAACCCTGAAGAAATTTCTGGCTCCTGACTTCAGATCAGGGGAGTGAACCAGCAGATGAAAGATCTATCTACTCTTTGTAAATTTGCCCTTCCAATAAAAATAAGCAAACCTTAAAAAAAAAAAAAGAGATATCTCATATTTTTGGGAGCACCAGTTCAAATTCCAGCTGCTCTGCTTCTGATCCAACTCCCTTCTGATGTATCTGGGAAGCAAAGGAAGATGGCCTGCATGCTTGGATCTCAACCATCCAAGAAGGGCCCCATGTGGCAGACCCAACGGAGCTCCTGGTTCCTGGCCTCAGCCTGGCCCAGTTGTGTCTGTTTGGGGAGTGAACCAGTGTAAGATTTGTCTCTTTCTTTCTATTTAGCTCTGCCTTTCAAATAAATAAATACATCTTTAATGTATGTATTTCAGATAAGAGCACTAAATTCTTCAGAAAGTCTAATAAGACTCTGTACTACTAACAATGTGGATAACATGTAAGAGAAAACCATTTTTCTAGCCTAAGAGACATGGACATACTCCTGGCAAAAAGACTCACGTGGTCCTGGCAGAACTTGTTCTTTTCTTGTCTTTCCAAGCCAAGAGGGTTCTCTTGAGCTGCAGAGGGCTAGTCAAACTCAGGAGGAGGAGGAAGAAGAGCAAGCTTGTAGGACATGTGCACAGCAGGCCAGGCACACACCACAGCAGCTAATTCAACTGGCAGCAACTTTCTAAGATGCTACTATGACTGCAATTTTAAGGCTCAGAAAAACTTAAAAGACCTGTCCAACACACACTAATCAACCCTCATAATCTAGGTTGCCATCCAGGATTATTTTCCCTCCCACACTGTCCAAAACAGCCTCAACTTAAGAACACATTAACAAATGCTCTTGCTAATAAAAATATGCTCATGTGCTGATTTTCTCCATCTTAATTATTAGTCATTTTTAAAAAAAGCTATTGCTTGCTGCTTATGCCAATGTATGTTTCCCATCCACTATGCCTAAAAAACTCCCCACTGTCATCTGAGAGATACTTAGTATTTCAAGCATTTATTAAAAACCATTGCTCTTCCTAAGAAATCACACACAATATGAAATACAACAATACATGACACAAAGAAAAATCAATAAGACTCAGCTGGACTCAGACATCATAACAAAACCAGAAACAATCCAAAGAATTCATTACCATGCTAGCTTTCCACTGAGGGATTCTGTTGGCTACAATAGTAAAAGCTTAAATAACCTGCACGACCAGGGGACACCCAAAGATGTAATTTCAGCTCTGTCCAGAAATAAGTAAATCAGTTAATTAAACAAAACCTTTTGAAAATGTTCTTGAAACTCAATACAGCCATTCCTCCCTCGTCCTGAGAACTCTCAACTACTCACATACAGCAGATTCAAAACACAGAAAATCAGCTCCTGACCAACTAAGAGGTGACTCAAAGCACTCCCATTAGTCTTAATGTCTCAGCTGAGTCAGAGTTACTCGTTATTGCCGTTGTTAACTTCACTATGGAATACTACTTTCAAGCTCACCAAAACAAATACCCCAAAATAGCACAAAGAATTTTTGCATACTCTTCCCCAAGCTCGCTCAAATGTTTGTGTCCTGTACAACCACACATAAAATGACAAAGCCATGTTTCTAATTTGAGTCCCAGCTACTTTGGACTTCCAATCCAGTTTCCTGCTAATGCAGCTGGACGTACTTGTGTTCCCACCACCCACATGGGAAACCTGGTTGGACTCCTGAGTTCCTGACTTTGGCCTGGTCACC